GTTTTTTTCAGAATCTCACAGCAGCATTGCAAGGCGTTTTTGGAAGGGATATTCGAACAAGGCAAACCACCCCTGGGATATTCACTATCCATGGGCAAAGCATTCATACCTTTGGAGGGGGGGCATGTTGGAAAACCCTCGGCAAGTCTAAAAATTGAAAAGACTTGATTATGTTGAAAGCCTTGTCTTGTCTTTTTTGACACGAATAAATAATATCATGATATCCAGAGCCTCTCGCGCATCTCCTGAATTGCCTCCCTCCCTTCCTCGAACGCCTTTGGGTAAAAGATTAAAATCTGGCAAAAGACCACTCCTTTTTCGAATATAGATGCTTCTCCAACACGAGGGGGTATGACGATATCCACACAACACAGCTTATCCCGCTCTATTCGACCGACCGCCTTTCTTCCATCTCTGCTTTACTCTTCTCACTTCTCTGTCGAGATGCGAAGCCACGCACTAGTGGACCACGCCCTCTACACCACCGAGGAACCGCCTCACGCGCTCAACCTCCAACTCGCCCTTTTCACTCTCCACCGCCCTCAGCAGACCATCGACAACTGCATCGACCTGGTCCTCAGGCTCCCCCGTGCACATGGCCACCACGCGCCGGTACTTGACCTCGAGGTCCTTACTCCGCCCCTTCAGCGCGCCCGCCATCTTGCGCGTAACGTCCCGTCGTGCCGATACAGCGCTCAATCTCGCCTTGAGGGTCGCCGCCGAGGGCAAGAGGCCGCCCTCGCCATTCGTGCCGGCCGTCTCGAGCGCGGCGCTAAGTTCCGTCTCCCACGACGAGGAGAGGGCATTTGTTCGTCCCGCGCGGTTCTGTTCCTGCGTGAGGCGGACTTGTTCTTCTTCGCGGGCGTGGCTCAGGTTTGAGACCTTTTGCCGCGCGAGTTGCTGTTTGCGCAACGTTGCTTGCATGGATTCGAGGTTTCTCTTGGCCTCGCCTAATTGGGCCGATGTTGTGCGGAGAGTGGTGTGGAGAGACTCGATAACTACTTGTTTTGACTTCACCTCACTTTGGAAGGTGGAGCTTGCTTCGGTAAGAAGATGTGTAATCGCTGATGATTGTCAGGTTGGTGATGCGGTCAAAGGAATGGTGATTTAGTAAGAGACTCACATGAAATAATATCGTCACTGCTTTCCTTTGTAGGTTCACTGCTGACGAGTCCGTTCTTCTCGACATCCCCATTTGTCGCGTTACCATTGGCTCCGTTGATGATCTTGGAGGCTTCATCCGCAGGTTCGCCCCCAATGCCAAAGTCTACAGGGCGTAGGCCGGCGCGGTTGGCAATCTCACCATCAGCACCAACCTCTAGTAGTTGTGAGATGATGCTCCGGTTGCCTATCCGTGCTGCGATGTTCAAGGCCGTATCACCGGCGTGGTCTTGGGCATTAACGATCTCCGACATGAAGCGAGCAATGCCCATTTTAGGTTGTGATGATGGTTGGGATTGTGAGCTGGCTGGCGCACTATCTCCCTTTCCATTGGCGGTGAGCTGGCCGTTGGGATTGCTGCCCTGTCGCACAACCCATTCCAGGAGGCTTTCGAGGTAATATCTGCTTGCCGCGTTCCTGCCCTTCACGGCGCTCGTCATGGCAATGTGGTGCAGAACCGTCCGTCCCTTGCTATCGCGGACCTCAATTGTACTCCCAAGAACGTCAAGCAGATCGGGGAACTGTCCCAGGTCCATGGAGTTTGTCACTACACATGCCCTAACCAGAGCAGTCTCTCCAGAAGCGTTCACTCGGAAAGGACTGGCTCCTGCTGTGATAAGGGCCCTCAGGAGCGACATGCGAGATAATGTGGCGGCCCAGTGTAGAGCAGTGTGACTTTGTTGATCGATAGGCATGTCCAGTTCAATGGGTGCTAATGTCCGGAGCATCTCATGTTTTGACTGATCCGAGGTAGCCGAGTCCATAAACAGACTCATCAACATGCTGCGCTTCGCTTCGGCATCCGGAGACATTTCAAACGGTAGAGGACTCAGGGGGCTGTGGCCATCGTGTGCCGGGGCGTTGGCCTGAGAGTAGATGAATGATTCGTTGGGTTCCGTGGGCGATCCGGGGAACTGGTTCTGGTATATCTCCATAGAGTTGCTATTGTATCCAAAGCTGTCCTGCGGTGTCATGGTCACACGCTGCCGCTTCCTAGGCGGCTCTGGGCCATCAAACTGCTGGCTTGTTTGTTGAGTCGAGTAGGCCGAGTCGTTCTGGTTGCCGTAGTCGGAAGCGAAGCTTTGCTGGGAGTTGCCGGGGAAGTCGTCGCCATTCTGCATGGAGCTCTGGCGGCTGAAGCTGGGCGCCTTGGTCGGTCCGTTGCGGCTTCTCGGGCCAGGGGAGTCGAATCGTGCCTTGCTGATAGCAGCGACAGCGTGCGACGCAGTGCTCGAGATGTTTTTGAAAAAGGTGCCGTTGAGACCGGCCATGGCGTTCGTCCTCGCTTCGTTTCCGGCATTGTACATTCGTTTCCTCTGCGCTGCCATAGCCTGCTCCTTGGTCGGGGTATTGAAGTCTCCTCGGCCTGCAACTCCTCCATCTTGACCCATGTCATACGTCAGCAAGGGACGCAGGACCTCCTCCACGCCGTATTGGCGGCAGACTTCGACGCCTCGCTCAAACTTGATCCAGGTGCCCTGATATTTCCCGTAGCCTCCCTGGACCTTTTCGTGCTCGCCAGTCTGGATTTCCTTCTCGAGTATCTTTGTGCGCTTTCCCTTGTCGACACCAGCTACCTTGAGGATCTGGGTGGCATTGAGCCAACTGTCTTGCCGCCTGCGCATAACGGCGACACCATTGACCTCCATTTCGTAAACGTCGACACCGGAATAGACGGCCTAGTTGCGCTTGTCAGTGCGACTGCCCATTATGGATTGCGACATTGGGGTAGCACGACCACAAGTAGGACCGGTACTTACGCTGTAAATCTGCGGGGCATCGTTGGCGAGCCTCGAGTCCCCTCCATAGGCTCGGTAGCCGCCTTGAGATTGCTGGCTCATTGTAAAGGACTGTTGAGATGATGGCTGTGACTGCGATGCGGAAGGCATCATTGCTGTAGAAGCGGGATTCCCGCAATGATCGTGGCGTCGAGCGGCGGACGAGGACGATTTGCGGCGGGGATGGAGGGAGCGGGAGGGATGGCTAGTTGTGAGGGTGGTCGAAGACATGTGCCAGCGCTAGCACATTGGAAGCGAGCAACCGATGGCAAGGCGATGGGAGCCGGAGGCGGTGGAGAGGAGAGTAGAGGGTCCGTAGACGTAGCAGGGACGGAGCTCTAAATAAGTGAGGCGATCAATCGACGTTGGCGGGTCTTGTGGTTGTGGAAGCCCAGGAGATGAGGAGGGCAGTGGATTCGGAGGTTGCGCTGATTCGAAATGCGAAATGCGTGCAGCCCCCGTCTTGTTCCCTTTGGTTGGGGCTCGTTGTGCGGTGCGTTGCTTTGCGGTGATTTGCGTTGCGCCACCTTTGGCCGGGTGCTTTGTGCGTGTGGTGTGGTGTGCTGCGAATGCTATGCGGATGCAGTAGCAATAGGAGCAGCAATAGAGAAAGTAGAGCAGGGCAGCTGGAAGAACAAGCAGCAGCAGATACGTGGGTTTGTGAGTGGAGGGATGCGCAGGCGAAGTTTGGGTGGTGGGCGGCTATTCTTCAAGGGAGAGAGTGAGAGAAAGGTTATTCGGGTTCGAGCAGATTAGAGACGGCGAATTTGAGGTTCCAGAAAGACGCAAAAAATGGTCACCAAAAAGAGAAAGGTGAGGTTGAGATTGGAGCGTCCAGACAACGGGCGAACTGGAGATCAAGTGGATATCTGACAGAGTTCACAACTGCGAGTATTCGTCGCTTTGGTTGCCGGGTCCGAAAATGAAAAAGGGCCCGCGGCGCTGCGCCCGAAAAGGGAATTTCAATTAAAGATGACGGGACGTGTCTATTTCGCGAGGGCGTGTCTTGGGGATGTGAGCCGCGGACGTGTCGCGCGTCTCAATTTACGGGGGGGACGTGGAAGAAAGTGCACGCTGTGGGAGCCAGGAGGAACGGGGGAGAGAGAGACCGAGAGAAGGCGGAACCGTGGACACTTGGGAAGGGAGGCACGGGGGGGGAGGGAGGGGGAGAATTGGTGCTTTCCCATTTGTTAAGCGAGGCGCACTGGCCACTGTTTGCTCGGTCAACTGGTCGGTACGTATCTTATTGATTGTGCGAGACGGAAGGTCCCCCCCCCCCCCCCTTGGCCCCTTGCTCACCTCTAAACGCGTTCTGGATGGTGGAAGGAAAGAGACCGTGACGCGTCTCACTCTTACTCTCACTCTCACTCTAACTCTTGACTCACCATGCGCTGCTTCCATTCACGGCCACACCCCTTGATCATGGAACTGAACACCACTCTCATGGTAAAAGGAGGGGCAGTCAATGCGCCTCCCACTCGCCCATCACTTCACACAAAGCGACCTGCGTCACGCTCACATCCCCATTCCCTAAGTACCGAGTAAGGTAACTTGCCTTGCCTCAACGTACTTCACCTTCCATCCTTGCCCTCTCATCAGCCTCTGAGTAGGTACCTGATCTCCTTTTCATCGTAGGGAATAAAATGAAATTCGAAGAATTATGCTTTTCCACAATGGCCATGCCATTATCCGTACGTACTTGATTCTCAGATGCCTTTCTTTGTGAATATCTCATGGTGGAAGCTGGGCGCCGATCTGGGCCGAAAATAGCCCCACCTCCGGAGCTTGGGCCAGTCGGCCTCTCACCAGCCGAACCAGCGAACCAACGGCGGCGGCGCAAGAGCTTGCAGGTGACGGTGCAGGTCCTGTCAGGGCAACTTCTTGATGCTCCTCACTCTGCATTGTCATCTGCATGCATCCTGCTCGACATCCCACATGCGTCTCTGCCCGACCTGGAAACAACCACAATGAAGAAAAGACCAGTCTCTCCCTAGCCTTACCTTTCGACTGACCTTCTCTCCCTCTCTCGCCGTCCTTTGCGACGGCCCTCCGACCGCCGCAATGCAGACCCGAATACCTCTACCACGTCCAGTGCAGCCGTTGCATGTTTACCGTCACCTGCTGCGCTCCGCCACTTACTTTCCTCCCTCCATACGGCCCTTCCTCGATCATCGCATACGAACCACCTTCCGAAACGAGCGAGATCGAATGGCAGAAACCGAGCTGAAAATCCTCGAGTCCCTCAACCCAGCAGAAGATAGAGAGAAGGAGGAGGACCGCCGCAAAAAGGTCCTTGCCGATGCGAAACACAAGATTCCTGCGCTCCAGGCTGCTGTCGAAGGCGATCAGGACCGCCTACGACGTGTCATGTGGCATGTTTTTGGCCGACTTGGCAAATCCCGCCGCGAGCTCATGGCTTCGTTTGTTCTCAAAGGCTGCGACCCGAATGCCGACCCTGCCAAGCTAGAAGAGCTCGCAAAGAAAAAGGAGATGCAGAGAGAGCTCATGAAAAAGCGCGCCAAAGTCCACCCTTGGAACCGCACATACACCTGGGACGAGCCCACGCCCTGGCTTCGGCAGCATCTCAGTCCCATGGAAGAAAATTGGGACCTCCCTAAGCTGGATCGATACCTCCGGTCGCAAAAGAGTCACCAACGGAACATAACAGGCGCCGCCTTTCCTAGAGGCACAATTGGCGATCTCGATCCAACAAAAGACGTACCCGAGCAGGACGGCTGGGGCCGTTCAGTTGCATTGAGGAGAGTGACCAAACTCACAAGAAAGTTCTGGAAGGCCCAGGCCGACAAAATCATGCCCCCGGTATCACAGGAAGAGTGGGAGTCCTTGGAGCAACTCGCATCCGGAGAGGCGCCTCCCGAGATGTACAACATGTTAAAACGAAGGCGTATCGCCGGCCCTATAGAAGCCTCCGGAGATGCCATGACCAGCGACCGATCTTCGATACTCTTTAACAGTAGTAGAAACGAAGGGGAATCATGGGAGTGGCAATCTTCCGCCCATATCCCTGTCCGCGACGTCGAGAGAGCTGGTCAACGAAAACTCGAACTGCTCACTGGCAAGAAGGACCTTGGTCCATTTTCGCAAGCACGTCGCCTCCTTGTTGAATACGGCAGTAAGACAGGTCGGCTTGGAATTAAGGAGAGCGATCGCCCCATCTTCTCCAGGCGCGCTGTGCGGCGCGAATATCTCAAGCTGTGGCAGGCAACCTCATATATGAAGGGGCCCGGAAACAAAGCGGCAAGGCCTGTGTGGGGTCGCGTGGAACCAAAGTTGCCCGTGGTCACTGCTGCCCACCATCATTTCTTCGAGGGCGTCGATGCTCAGGGGCGCGTGCCGAAGCCAGAGCCACCCAAGTCTGCAACGACCAGCAGCCCTATGCCCGACGGTGAGAAAGCCCACCCTAAGGGTTCAAAGCAAGTCAGTTCCGGTGGTGAAGCCGGCGCGACCAGCGAGCCTCGATCCAAGTCGCCTGATTCCGAGAAGTCCTGAACATCAGGCGACTTTGAAGGAAAGCCTCGCGACTTCAAACCCTCAGTCATCTAGACCTCCGCGTGAAGTTGACTCCACACCGGGCAGCTTCGGAAACTTCAAATTCTCCAAGCCCAGAGATTCCAGGCCACGAGACTGAAAGTATCTCAAGCCAACTGATGATTAGCGGGCTTAGCATCATGTATTCCACGTCAAAATGGGCGGACAGCGCCATTGGTCCTGAAGAGATCACATCATCCCCTATCCATATATCTAGCCGAACGATTCCAGAGAAGCTGGAACGCCGAGAGAATCAAGGTCTCAGGTACCATAGAAGCCGGGGCAACTTGATTGCAGGCAGTTGAGTGCCACCAAGGGTGACGCAGGGCATCTCAGAAAGGCACCCTGCGGATCAAGGCCGGTCTTTATAAAGATGTTTTGTATGATTGTAACTACTTTTTTCTTCCGATAGACACTGGCTCTTCTCACGAATCAAGCAAGCCAGCCAGCTTCGGCAAGGCGTCGCCATCGACGCGCATGCCAACCCAATCGTTCATGGCATTTGCGCCAATGGACTCGTAAAACTTGATACTCGGCTCATTCCACTTCAAGACGGACCACTCAAGCCTCCCGCCCTCCATGGCGACGACTTCCTTGGCCAGTTCGACGAGCAGCCGCTTGCCGTAGCCCTTTTTGCGCTCCGAGAGGCGCACGTAGAGGTCCTCGAGGTAGACGCCCGGCTTGGCACGCCAGGTGCTGTAGTTGTAAAAGTAGAGAGCCATGCCGACGCCCTCGCCACTCTCGTTAAAGAGGAGAAGGCATCGCGCGGGTTTGGAGGGGGATGTGGGCTCCGTTTGGGGCTTGCCTTGCGTGTAGGTTGTCTGGGAGGAGGGCGCAAAGGCGATTGTGGCGCCGAGGGTCTCTTCTGTTGCGAGGACGCTGTCGAGCTCGTGCTCGTAGTCTGCGAGCTCCTTGATGAGGCTTAGGATGGTGGGGATGTCTGGTGGGGTGTTAGTCCGTGGTCTGTCATCCTGGGAGTGGTGGTGGTGGTAGTGGGACGCTTCGTTCACTTACCCTCCCGGCGGGCGTGTCGGACAGATGCCATTTCAAGTCTACAAGATGGCCGATGATGTAAATCTAATGACTAAGATTGCGATATCGAGGACCAGCAGAGCCTCATATGTCGTGATCGCGAAGTGGTATTTGTACCTCTACTGTCTACTGCTCTGTATCCATAAGATGTTGAAAAGTGATTGTCAAGGGCGCGCCTCGTGTCATGTGGTGGGGAAGCTTTCATGCAAGTCCCCCTCAACTGCCACGGCAGAATCTAGTTGTGGTTCTCACCGCCTGCTTGAATGTTTCAAATGGACTCTCATGAGTATGCTCATTGTACTACAAAAGAGATAAATCATGATGAGTCTTAATGAGTGCCCAGGACATCTCATAAGAATGAAGATTCTCAACATAAAATCGCCAAGAGTATGGGGTGCGATTGTGGAGTTGAGCAGCCAGTTCATTCTTATCGTGAATTACAAAGCATCAGCGTTTCATTCCGAAAGACCCCGGTCGATTGGCTTACATTGTCATAGAACCTTCTCTCTTATTGAAAACTCAATGGCATTATCAGCCTCATAAAGGTATGAGGGCCGGCGTTTGGAGCGGGAGATGAGGTTGGTGCCCGGCGGGAGAACCGTATATCCAATACCGCAAGTCCCGCCCGTCGCCGACACCGGGCCGGGAGTGATTGATAAGTTTATGCTAAGTTGCTAACTCACTCGATGCCGCTTTACCATTGGACCCAGAGTATCCTTATCCTTGCCCAGTGATGATGACATGGACAATGTTGCCGCACGCCATTGACCCAACCGTCTGAACCCCGAAGACATCCTCTCCCCCACACACATTTCTACAGTGACAGAGTGGTACGAATTAAGGAACTTGGCTTAGTTTAATGGCTTCCCCCACCCCGGCCATCGGTCGCATCGGCGGCTTTCCGACCTGCCTGTTGCGCAATTCAACCCTGTGATGCGCAAACCGCCCCCCGCACCCACCGAATCCCATAAAGATGCCGATGGTGGGTTGGAAGAGCGAGGGTTGAGCTTTGAGAAGCTTGGCCTGCTTTGCTTTGCGATCATCAGCTGAAACGAAACCCCCAATCCCGTCGGAGCTTCTCAAACTCTCAACTCACACAACGGCTTTCGTCTCAACCCAAGTCCCTAAGCTTGCTTTATAAGCTATACGCCTAGCTTATCGACCACCCCGTCTCACTCTCAAGATCCCACTGAGGCGTTCCTCATAAAACACCAACCACATCAATGATCATGCTCCTCCCGCCGCCAAATAAGACCCTCAAGGGCCACAAGCTCCTCGTCCTCTCTCAGTTCCCGCTGCCGCAGGAGTGGCTCGACAGGGTGCACGCTGAGTTCCCCGATCTGAAGGTGGTGCATCACGAGCTGGCCTGGGCCGACAGGAAACCGAAGGAGACCTTCAACCACGACGAGTGGAAGGACGTGACTATCTTGCTGACTGGCAGCGCCTTGCCCGCCGTCGAGGACGCGCCGAAGCTACACTATGTTCAGCTCCAGAGCGCCGGCGCGAATCATATTCTCAAGGACCCGTTGTTCAAGGATACGGATGTGAGCTTTTGCACGGCGAATGGTGTCCACGGGTGAGATTGGTCTTTGGGATTCGTGGCTGGGAGTTTTTGACTGACGTGAGGACGGTAGACCTCAAATTTCTGAATGGATCATCACAACGTTCCTCTCATTCCAGCACAACCGTAAGAGAGAATTCACCAAAGCTATTAACGTATCGAAATCACTCACCTGACTTGGCCCCCCCAGTTCCTAAGTACATCGACAACTACCGCTCTGGCCACTGGCAGCGCGGCAACGACTTCGTAGAAGACGCAGTCGGCCGCACAATGTAAGAACCTCATCCACATCCAACCCAAGAACCCCCATTCTCACACAAACACCGCAGAGGCATCCTCGGCTACGGCAGCATCGGGAGACAAACCGCCCGCGTCGCCACCGCCCTCGGCTTCAAAGTCCACGCCTACACCCTCCACCCGCGCCCAACCCCCGAATCCAAGCGCGACGACTCCTACACGCCCCCGGGCCTCGGCGACCCGGAGGGCAAATTCCCCTCCAAATGGTTCTCGGGCGCCTCCAAGTCCGATCTGCACGCTTTCCTCGGCTCCGGGCTCGATTTACTCGTCGTCGCGACGCCGTTGACGGATAAGACGAGTCACTTGCTCTCGGCCGAGGAATTTGGCATCCTGGCGGAGAAGAAAACGTTTATCTCGAATATCGCGCGGGGTCCGATTATTAATACGGATGATTTGATTACGGCGCTGGAGGAGGGGACGATTCGGGGCGCGGCGCTGGATGTTACGGATCCGGAGCCGTTGCCTGATGGGCACCCGCTTTGGAAGGCGAAGAATTTGCTGATTACGCCGCATATTAGTGGGTTGTCTACGAGTTATGGGGAGAGGGTGCTTGGGATTCTGGAGCTGAATTTGAAGAGGTTGAGTGAGGGGAAGAAGCTTGCCAATCTTGTTAATAAGAGAGAGGGATATTAGGTCGCGTGCGAGAGGATGGGTTGCGGACTGCGGTGCGGGCATAGAGAGCTCAAGTCTGCAATGAATTGATGAAATCTAGAAGAATATCATTTGATGATGGCTCCGATTCAAGGCAATATGCGAGGGAATGACACTGGATCATCGCATACCATTGAGAGCTGCGTGGATTACTCTTAACCTCTCGAATGAATCTCAACTTACCCCTTTCCCCTGGCCTGCTCTCATCACCCCAAGACATTGTCTCCGTCGGGTACACATCACATCAAGCATCGCGACTCGCACTCCTCAGTTAAGTATTGATTATTAGTTGCCATTAGTGACGATCTTCAGATATGAGAGGAGACTTGGTTTACGGCGGCGATGCCGCACCTTTTGATCAACGGTCCTCACATAAAGTTAAATCGACTTCACCTCCTCCCCTCCCTCTGAGGCCACCATGAGAGCTCAATCAAACTGCAGCAACTCCAGGAATAGGTCCTTTCTGGTCAGATACCTCGTAGTTCGTTGGCGGGTGCCCTTCACTAGAGTCCGCAGTGCTACCATTGTCCTGAGTTTCACGAATCCTCTTTTCCCTAGAAAAAAGTCAGCTTCCAGTTTGTTCGTTCTTGCCATCGAGAATACTTACCCATGAGAACCTAGTAACACTCTCACAACCTGCGTCATGATAACCAGGAGAACCACCATGACGGCAGAGTACACATAACCCTTTGGAAACCTCGGGGCTTCGACAGTCGGGTACACAAACAGCGGTATCCACGCGTTTGTAGATGTGGCGATAGCCGTCATGAGGATCAAGGTCAACGCTCGCTCCTCGATGTTATGCTTGAGAATGATGTTGGCCCAGCCGTACAGCACTGAAGAGACTGCGACAGCAGAGTATGTGGTGCTGAACGCATACCACTTTGCGGCTTCCGGCACGTTCCAAACAGCCAATATTACCAGTCCCGAGAAGTTGATCGCCGATGCCAGGGTAATAGCAGCCGGACGCCCAATCCACAAGTCTGCGCTGAAGTTGATGAACAGCACAAAGAAGATTCCCAGCCCGGGGCTGATTGCAGCCAGGTTATTCATCTGGGCGGTGCTGTATCTACCGAGACTCTTGATCCACAACAAGAAGGCAGCGCTGTTCGCACTCGTGTTGAAGAAAAAGATATCCCAGATGATCAAGACGTAGAACCGCCAGTTTGTAAATACTCGTTTGAAGAGGCTCAGTGAGAAAGGCGTGCTCTTGACTGATGCGCCGGCCTTTTGCAGACGCGAGCGTGCGAGGTCAAGTTCGGACTCCTTCATGAGAAGCTTGTTTGGCTTTGCGGGCGTGCCGGGCCACACGAAGTACCCGATTACCGCCAGAGGTAGCGTAATGATTGCATTGATGATGAAGAGCCAGCGCCAGCCGGCTAGGCCGTGAGTCCCGTCGAGGTATGTCACTGCTGCGGCTTGTAGTAAGGATGCCGTCAGGATGCCGAGGGTTAGGCCGATGTAGAAGATGCCGCCTCTACGGCCGATTTCATCACTTCGATACCACGATCCGAGGACGAAGTGAACACCTGGGAAGTACGAGGCCTGGTTTGACTGTTAGCTTTGATTCAAGACGGCCGGGATAGAAGAGGGGAGCTCACTTCGAAGATGGCCACCATGAACCGATATGCCATGATTTCAGCGTAACTGTTGGCGCGATATTGGAGCAGAGTAAAAAGTCCCCAGCCGAGATCAAGGGTCGGTACGAGGACATGCATCGGTACTCTTGGGAACAGGTAGATGAACGGCAAAAGGCCGACTACATTGCCAACGACGAAGATGGTCTGGAATTGGACAAGCTCATTGCCGTGGAAGCCGAGCTCGTCGGCCATTCCAGAAACGTAGGCATTATCTGATGTTGTGTTAGCGGGAATTGGCAAAAGGGTGAAGTTCCTCTTGAAGGTGGATTGCTAACTGATGTTGATCTGGTCGATGTACTTGACCCAATAGATGATGCTGCGGGGGTATGGTCAGTCTTGACAAAGAGTATGTCAAAGAAACTAAACATACAAAGCGTAGGGCACGATGAGCAAGTCAAGTTTGAGAATCAGCTTCCTCTCCTCGGGGGTATCAGTCGGCGCAAACCAATGATACCAACGGCGAATCGGCAGAGTCGACATGGCGTATGAGTCTCAAAATGCACTTGGACTTGCAGCAGTATGAGACGAGACCGCCGAGTCTAACACATCATTTCTTTTCGTAATGGACATTTATCCTGATCAGTTTTAAGGAAACATCGACAAGCCTTGTGTTGAAGTCGTCAATGCCGCATGGGAGCACATCACCGGCAGGCATGGGTCGGGAGTCTCCCGACGAAAATCCAGACTTGCGCACCCATGGCGAGAAGTCCGGCAATAAAGAGGATGTAGTTATTCTTCCGATAGCTTATCTCGGCCTCGTGTCTCGATACTGTGGTTGGCTGATGACCATTCCTTTTGGATTCCGTTAGGACGTCTTGCTAGGGTGGTTGATGATGATGCCATCCTGCGCGACATTGCGCAAGCGGGTACGCGGCAGTTGGCTTTTGTCCGCGCAGAAATCTAAGTCCTAGTCAAGAGAGAATTTGCCGTACGTTTAGGATATTCAAGGCTTCGGTTTCTGTACCCTCGGTGCTGATTCTCTGCCCACTGTAGAAATACCAGGTTCATTGTAGATGGTATTACGGGCAGTTTTTCGAGTCGAAGGTGGTCCATCTGAACACCTCTTTAAACTTTGGACGGGGTTCACGACTTTGATGTGGCCGAAACAGGATTAAGCCAGGATTAGAGGCTCAGTACGAGACGTTGATAGCGGATCTTGGCAAGAACCTTTAAAGTCTATTTTCTATTGCTTGGCTCGACCTAAAATACTCGCCGTGTGGTTCCTCCTACGAAAAACCCATGGAAGCCGAAGATAAAAGCGGTATCGGCGACATCATAGGAATCGTCTGTCTAGCAGTTGATAGCTTTATGCAGCATAGAGTGCACAGTTGCGTAAAACCGATAGTTGGATTGTTTATAAACGCAACACAGATGTCCTCAAGTCAGTACCTTGGATCAAGAATATCAAGCTTCAGGCATGACTTAGGCTATGCTGTTTGAATTGAGACTTGGCACCAGAAACTGGGCTAGAGACTACAGCTCAGCTAAACTATTGAAGCCGCTTATTCACTGCCATTGGCACCGGCAGCGATGCAAGCGTTCGAGAAACCATCACCGTCCATCTCCTTGCCGGGAGAGTTGCAAACACGGTGACCGTCGTCGTCACCGAGTGTGCAGTCGGAGCAGAAGCTAGGGCAGACTTTGTTGGTCACAGCATCATTCTAGTCCGCCATCAGTATATTTCATCTTGAGAAACGGGGTTTGGGCGGTGAGTGGGAGCTTACAGGGAAGCCGAAGATAAATTGCCCGCTGCCAGAGGCAGTGATGCAGTGGAGGCGGGTGTGGTGCTTCGCGGTGACTCTGAGAACTTGTTAGCCACAGATTACTAGAGACCTGATATAGTGTGCCTTGTTGTTGGATAACAGAAGAAGTGACAAAGAAGGAATAAACGATTTGGATGAGATTGGAGAAAGTTAGTAGCTTACCCAGTTGCGGCAGCGAGGAAGAAAGCCATCATGGCGGTAACGGTAGAGAACTGCATTTTGAAGATGATTGAGTCTATTTTGGTTCAAAGAGAGTTTGATGAAGTGAGTGGTGAATTGTTGGAGTGATTGTTGACTGTTTGGTTGAATTGTGAGATGATGGAACGGGTGCTGAAGAGAGGATACTATAGACACTTAAATAGCCATTCCTTGGCACGCCGATATGTCAACACCATAGGGCTGAACATAGGTAGACGACTATATCCGGATTCCAGTGGTTTCGATGTTTTGGTACTGCCATAAGGCTGAGATGTGCGATGATCGTGTTCACGACTCGAGACTTAGATGAACTGAAGAACTTGACGCGGCCTAAGCCACGGCAAAGAGCGAAAGCGGGAGCGAGAGTGGGAACAAAAAGCAGTGAAACCCACGAATTGACGAGTAATTCTGCCATTGCTTTAAATCGCCCACAATTGAAGCTTTTGTCCCGGGAAATCGGAACCTGAAAAGCTTTGGTAATTCGGCTATGTTAAGTGTTCATCCCATGCCAAACTACGGATATTGTCCGCCGCCGTTAACTTATCTTAGGTACCTTACTTACCCAACCCACTACCTCAGGTAGATATCAAACCACATGAGCTAGTCATACGAGCTCTAAAGATTCATGATCCTGGCATGAATAGTGGTTTCAAAATAGGATTCTGATCGAATTAGGAAAGTATTCGCCCGGAGGAGACATTTGATGCAAAAGGCTGACATTTTCTACATAGCCCCAGGCCATAATGTATTTACAGAGGAAAAGTATACATGCATGGATCCGATGAATCCGAAATAATATCACAAAAGGGTGGGTAACGCAACATAATTGCCGTTACCCGTGATTGTGTGCACACCTCTCCCCTTTCTTGCTTCTGAGGCCGTTTATAGTTGATTTCAATCCTTCAACTTAGACACACTGAGAGTACCAGTCGTTGACAAGCTGGCACTTGCCGGAGGCACAGGTAGTGGCACCGGAGTAGCCCTGGCCACCGCACTGGCCGTAGAGTGCAACAGATCCAGAAGTCGCAGCCTCAGAAGCCTTGGGCGCAGCGGAGGTGGAAGCGGCGGGAGCGGCGGAGGGGGTAGCCACAACAGTGTCGGTGGTCTCATCAGCAGCCTCAGCTGTGGTATCGGAGGAAGAAGAGGAAGCGCTCAGCTTGCCCATGCCGGCGTTGCTGGGGACAGTGGTCTTAATCTCGCTGCCAGCTGCGGCACTGGCAATGTTGAAACCATCAAATTCGCTGAAGAAGGAGGTGTCGGTGTACTTGAACTCGTCGGTGGTGTCTTCGAAGACGTTGAGCTCGCAGGCTCTACCGAGCGCAGTCTTGCACTGAGCGGCGGCGGTCCCGTCGGGGGCGGTGAACAGCTTGCCCTGGTAGTCGGAAACGAGCTGCTTAACGTTGATGAAGGCGTTGCCCTCGAAGATACCGCGAGCCTTGGCGTCGCCACCCTCGATCGCGTGTCCCTTGGTGTCCTCCCAGACGTTGTTGACGGCGTGAAGCAGGGTGGCACCACTCAGGGCGGGACCACGGCCGGCAGTCATGTACACGTAGTTGTTCTTCATGGTGATCTGGTCATCCTCGCCAACCATCTCGAAAGTCCAGTAGTGGTATCCATCGCAGCCAGTGGAGAAGGTAGAGTTTCCGTTAATAAAGTTGTTAGACAGGGTGATGCGCTTGCTAGGAGTGAATCCGAACACGTAGTGCTGGCGTCCGGGGCGGGTAGTCTTGATTCAAGTCAGCTTCGAATTACAAATACTTAGATTATGGCAGCACTTTACTGACCGTGACATGGTCGACCCAGACAAGATCAGCGCCAGCGAAAGACAGGGCGTCACCTCCCCAAACGTACTTGTGGTTCAGGTCGGTAATCTCAATGTTCTGGATAATGACGTTGCTGCCTTGCATCCTCAAACCCTTACCCTTGATGACGCCCTTGTTACCGACACCGATGATGGTCTTGTTAGACCCGACGTCGATAGGCGTACGGGCGGCCTTGTACCAAGTGTCCGTCTCCTTGGTGGCGCTGCCGCAGTCGTCCAGGATAATTCTTTGGCAAGCGGCGCCGGTGCCCCAGTTGGCGCATGCCGTGCCGGTCTCCGTGCCCTCGGACTCGGTAAAGTCGTACTCCTGAGAAAGAGCAATGACACGGGGCTCGTCGTCGGTCAGGTACTTTGTCAGCTCGTCAATGTCCTTGGGCGTGACGGCGGCAATGCTTCCGCCGCCGGTAACTCCGGTCGCGAAGCCCTCCGCCTTTCCGGTCACGGTCTGAGCGGAAGTCAAATTGACAACGGCCGCCAAGACCGCCAAGATAGTTGAAGCCGACTTCATTATGTCCGTAAAAAGCGCGGAATCCACGGGGTTTAGTCGTAAGTGGAAAATGTTATCAAGATGAAGGGAAAGAGAATTTGAATGCAAATAATGAGTTTCGGAACTCAACGAATGGACAGACTTAAACAAGGCAATTCAAGATCAAGGTGGAAAAAAAAAAGAAAGACTTGAGCAGAAACAACTCAATAGCAATAGAGAATGGATTGAGAAAAACTGAGCCTCATCGAACCTGTGGAAGGACGCAGCCTCTGATAAAGCGTCGATGTCAGCCATTCGCCATACGCGAATACGGTACGTAAAGACGGTAGGCTCGCAAAGAGGAGCAGTCTTTCTACCTGGAACAGACTACGCCTGTCACTTTAATTTAACCGATAGATCGAATAGGTGTAAGTTGCTCCTTCAAGATCCCTTTGATTGGTTGATTACAGTCTTGCTGTGGTGCGTGCGCCCTACGCGCCCCCCCTGAATGCTGAATGGGACACAAAATCTGCTCGATTGAGAGTAGTGACGTCTCCTCCACGGCCCCATATGCCTAATGTAAGTAACTACGGAAGTTTCCTGTCAGGGGATATGCATCTGTTCTACTTTGGGCAAGTTAGTCGTGATTTGAGCCAACCCGCGCCACTTTTATTTCCGATGCGTGAACATTCTGGGACCTGGCTCGCACCGCAGAAGCCTGCGAATGCAAATTTTGGCAGCGCAATTATCTTAGCAACTTTAGGCAACCAGTTGGTGCCGTATAAATCCAATGGGGGTGCCGCTTTTGAAGGGCATTGAGGCTAGAGGGGCCGGCGACAAGAGCCACTGTATCCGTAAGTTGGGGGTTCGACAGCGGCGCTGCTCGGATTCGCTTTTCTTCGTGATTGGGCGCTCCCAGTAGCCGATGGCGGCGTCTTCATCAAGACTCGCCAGGCCGAGAAGCCGATATGAACGTGTACACGGTAGTATGTAAGAATTTCTCAGACTACATGTAACTAGACATTTGTATAGTCGACGTTTCTAACATACTTAATTTTAATGGCTTTCTGCTGATAGGCCACTCTCATTCACCCCCAACGCAACTCTTCGTCTCAACGTACTCCGCTAGCCATGGCCTTGGTGGACCACACGCGAACACCACATTGTAGTCTATGCTCACTGTTAAGTACGGATACTTGGTTCGTTACTTAGCGACTGACGTGCTTTTTGATCAAGCAACGGGGCAAGATCCAACGTTGGAGCGGGCCCATCAAACAGGAGCACTGGAGCAAGGAGTGGCGTAGACAGGGAGACGGGATATGTCCGAAGATTTGCAGATCTTTCCTGCACTATAAGAAACATGACTTGCACTATTTGCGCGCGCTGAAGCTTGCTTTTGGGATCGACTGCGTTGCTGTTAGGTACATGTAGCAGATACATTACCAGTGCGACTACTAAGTCAGAATTATGAATTCCGCAATGCCACGTACATGTTATGTGTGAATACCCGAGTGGCTAACAAAAGCATGCAGTGTATGCTAATTAGACCAAGCCCCGACGGATAATTACTGTCGTTACTTAAAGTACTTGGTGCATCTTGCTGACGGCCTGGGCATGAGCGCTAAGGCAGGTTTGCAGCCGCGCCTAAATTGGTGCGCCTCCTTTGTCGACATTGAAGCTGTGAAGAGGGTATGTTTGCAGCCATCTGAATTTCTCCAGTCATGTCACTTCTACTGGTCGCAAGGCAAGTGTCAACCTCTGCATGCAGACTCAACTTGCGTTTTCAGCGACGCAGAAGTCCATATATCAAAGGATTATCGGCTTTCTCGCGGTGTCAATAATGTATTTTGCACAGAGTCATACCGATCTTGACAGTACCAAGGCACATGCGAGTACGAGAGGCGTATTTGGAACAATATCTAGACCATTATCAAGCCCACTGCTAGAACTAAGCGGAAACCTTTCACATTTTGAATCGCTACCGAAGCTGAAGATCGATATACCCTTGATCTAGAAGTCAACGTTTCATCTCTTATTGCCTATGACTATACCTCAATCTTGGTGCACGTCGGCAACTATTAGACATCGATATCGAGAATCATTTCCGCGACAAGGGTCAAATTCAAACTTCGGTTTTGCATTCTTCTGCTAATGCTAGGAATGGTAGCAAACCATTCCAAAAGGGCAAAATCATGGTCCAACGGCCTAGTGCTGATGGGATTCAATTCAAAGAATCGCACACCTCCATCGGGGGCTCCCAAGGCAGTGTGCAAGGGCTTCACATCCAAAAAACATCCGACTAAGACGTTCGCCGCTTCTTTCTTCAATGATCGATAGCTAACTAAACTATCTGCGCACTGTGTCTGATATCTTACCCTGCCATCAAAGCCAGTCTTGGTCAGTGCAGTAACATGGCTTCTGTGCCCTCAGGCCAGCGACGTCGGCACCATAAAGTTCGGGTCCTCGTTGAAGATAGCGTTCATGAACCCCTCGCTAGCGGGATGCAGGACCTCCAGCTGGGTGATGGCGACCTGAAGCTTGCCCTCGATGAAAAGCTGGCGGTTAGCGGGATCGGTGCTGGAGGTATAAAAGCTCAGGTACGCGAGCGTCGAGTTGATGCCGCTGTACGCGTCGGCCTGCTCCTGCAGCATGCTGCTGAGCGTGCCGGCGGCTTGAATGGCGCCTTGGATTTTTTTGTCGATATCGTCGACCTGTCCCACGATGGTGGTGACGAAGTCAATTAGCCGGGCTTCCTTCTCGTTTTCCATCTCAAGGGATTCGTAGTTCTCCCACAGCGCCTGCCACGCCGTGTGGAGGGTGTCAGCCTTGTGTGCGACGAATGCCAGGGTGGCCCATCCGTATAGGGGCATCCAGCCGAAGCTCACACCGATACTGATGGCGACGCCCGTCGCTGTCTTCCAGTCATCGTACTTGCTGTTGTAGTCTCCCAGCGCCTGACTGAGATTCTTCATGGCTTCGTCGTAGTCGGCGTTGAGGTAGGCCAAGTAGCCGTTCACTGTCTTGTCGTCGAACGTGAGTGGGGTCTTGCTGTACTTTGGGATTAGTTTCTCGAGGCTTTTGGCGAAGGGTGTAGTGTCGGCTTTAAACTACGCCGAATTAGCTTGAGAACAGACAAAGTCGCAACCTTGGGCTCTCCAAAGTACCTTGAGTAGCGCGGTAACGATGTTTGTAGCTTCAGCAGATTTCTTGACGGCCGTTTGTTCAAGCAATCCCAGCTATCCACGAGCAGCGCTCTGGGCGCGAGTGAAGGCATCGTCCAGATCAGCCGCAGTCTTGTACTTTGGGTCACACAGGACCATTAGCTGAGCGTGCAGGCCCATGGCGGGGACCTCCTTGGCCTGGAGGTTTTCCAAGGTATCTTCGGTCCAGGTTTTGGCCACAGTGCCAGCCTGAACTATTTCAAATTAGGAACTGCTGAGAGCACGGTTGAGGCAAGTTGAAGACTATAGACTGTTGATAAACAGCAATGACAAACCCACCAATCTGGAACAGGTTGTCATCGTAGAAGGCTCCGCAAGTCATCCCTATACCGACCATCATGTTTTTGGTGTCGTCGTAGATGGATTTGTCGACAGCCTCGAGACGCTTGAATGCATCTTTGGAGATTTTCTTATCGAATTCGTCATTCGTTGGGGGAAGTTCTTGCCACTCAGGACATAGGCCTTGAGGTCTTGATGGAGCGTAGAGTCAGCTTATAGACGTTCCATGATTCTTGAGGGCGAAACCAACTGAAATACGCCTTGCTCTGAAGGAGAAACTTTACCTGCTGCTTCTCTTGCTCTTTGGTCTTAGCGAGGGACGGTGCCGCGGGAGTCAGCAGGACGCGATCCGTCGAAGCTGCAAGCTTCTCCAAAGAAACCTTGAGCGCGATTTCCCCGTTCGTGGTGGGATTCCACTCAGGAACCGGAGTCATTGTGGCGGTCGCAGCAGATGCCATTCTAGTTAGAACGAAGCGCAGCTGGAAATCCCGAGAGTGTACGTTATTCAGAATCCGTGGCAAATGCGGTAATATGTATGAAAGCACTTAGGTAGCGCAAACCCTGGTCGACCTCAGATGGCGTTGGTGGTCTTTATATATTTTTGTCACATGGTCTGTCTAGGTAATGCACAAATTGTGGAAAACAGAGGCGTCCCTTCGACGAAACTCTGGCTTGCTTCGACATGAGTGACTCAGAGCCATTGTTGCACATGCCTTGGACAGATGCGGGATACACCTCTGTCGCCATCCTTTGTTTCGAACAGTGACGTGGCGGAGGAATGCAGGCTGCGGTCAGTCTAGACCAGAGATGTTAACGAACATTATCAGCCTTTGCTTCTTGGCCGTTCTATCGGCGAAGGAATTACCAAGAGCGCCTACTACCGTTTTGAGTCGTAAGCTGAGCTTTTAGTCGGCTGGACGAGACCGTGGTAATCTTCAGCCTTCGCTCCTATCGCTTGAAATGGGTTGCTGTCATTTCGGAAGGTTTGGACATCGTGCCCTGCGAGGAGAGGTATTCGGTTTCGTCCCTATCCAGGGATAACGCAGATTCATTGCGGGACGAGAACTCCCGGGGCTTGAGACATGAAGGCCATGTAGCATACCGGCGGGCAGTCACTAGCGCTGGTCCACATATCTTCGCATATATTTGATGTTCCCAAACGTCTTCTCCGTGCAGCATCACCGCCGCTTTCGATGCTAGTAGTTGGCCAAGATTTGACTCAGGATTCAGCTCTGAGGTTGAATCCACGTACCAAACGATTCCCCCCATGGATGCCGAGCAGGTCAAAACTTGCAAGGAAAAGAGGCTCCATAGGTGGAATCGATCCCTGGCCTTCAGTTAAGTCTCCCTGGTGGGAGGTCTATTGACTCAGAGGCAATCGTGATGGGGTCATGTGTAAATTAGTCTGAGTTGCACGAAAGCAACAGTGGCAGCCATCGTCTAGGTATTTTGACACGTTCACCTCGCAGGTGTTACACCATCTACATCTCACCGCTCTGTCGACTTTGGGACATCAGACCAGAATACTGCGTTGAGCAATGCCAGATACCTACATGAGAGACCGTGACTTAGCTCAGAACTCATTTATGAGAAGACGAATCATTGGCAAAGATGATATCACCAAAATTGCAGCGGTTTACGCCTCCTTGCTTCTTTCCCCTCGGTTCCCTTCTCGGGCCCTTGCAATTCTAACCAGCAAGCCTTGTGCTGCATCTCCTACAAAACCTCAGGGTTCCCATCAAGTCAACCAACAGACCCTATCCCCTGTTGCCAACCCCATCCCCAATATCGATCATCAACCCCGTCCTCAAATCCATTTTGCAATCCAGTCTCCAAACATGGCCGATTGATCTCCAAAATTCCAGATCGTCATTGATGGCCCAGCTGGGATAGTGTTCTCGTCATTTCCCAGCACCGATTTAGCAGGCGGGCAACTGAGCACCATCATACTATCAAATGTTCGGAGCAAGTACAACATGTAAGTTCATTACGCAAGAATCGGCATGTCTGGCTCGAGACCGATATCCCCATTGATGTATAATTCCAAGTTCCAACAAGCTGCGCTTCACGGCAGACGGTAAAACACTCCTTGATGACCAGACGACGCTGGAGTACTACATGACCCTTACAACAGAGGTAAGAGCTTTCCAAACCGCATTAGCATCAGGCCACCAGTTGGCTCAACTACCTATATCCAAGACGAATCAAAGGACTAAATAGTGTCTTTCCAGGGTAATGCAATTCTCAAAGCTTCTGCCACACCGCCCCCGCCCGCACTCGTAGCAGCCTCGGTTCCCGCTGCTGCTGCTGCTGCAGATGTTCCGTACCCGGCTCCAGCAACCACAGGTCCGGGTGTCTCAACCTTCTTGGTGAAGGTACTTGACAGCACCCATCCTGTAGCTCCGCTCCAGCCAATTCCCGAAACAAATGCCACCATGGCAAAGGTTCTGGAGCAGGCCAAACAAGCCAGATTCCTCGACCGCGGCATACTGCCAACCTTTGCTGATTCGACTCTGGCCGCACTGGGATCAAACTATGCGGCGAGCGCTGGTACCAGCGGTTATAAGGAGCCCGGCGAGCCCACCGGGATGCAGTGGGATTCGGTGCTGAAAAACAATCGGGCCCTCCACGGCTACTACACAGACTTTGACAAGGGAATTCTGGTGAAGGCGCTCAAGCAGGCATTCAGGCTGCGAGGCATCGCCACCCCTGGAATCTCGGTAGCAACGGTTCCTCCGATTACACCCCCTGCAGATGCATCTAATAAAGTCGCCATTCCATAAACCGAACCGGTGAGTCGCTTCCTGTCCTCCACACCGGATGGCCTTGTCGGGCAGGCCTGACTGGATTATTTGTACAGCCCAAGTGCAATCCTTCGATTCCGCCTTTCTATATCTACAACACTGCCTCGGTCTCCTTAACCGAAATACGACAGCAGAATCAGCGTTCACTCATCAAAGAAGGCTTCAACTCCTTGTCGGTCTCGGGAGCCTGTACGTGTAACCCTTTCTGCAATTGGCCTTGCATATATAACATACACACAATAGACGAATGCTTGAACTCCGACACTAACAACTAAAAGTGGTGGGGGAGCCAAGATTCCTCTTACCGTGTTTGCCGCCTTCGACGAGGAGCATGCTTGGAGTCAACAGGATAATCAGAGTACCGATGTCGACTCTCTCGCCGTGACTTACAATGTCAGTGTGTAACCTCAACAATGGCTGGCTAAGCTAACAGTGACACAAGCTGCCGCGCATTGTGATTGAATTGGACGCAGACAGTCTAGAAATGAACCCGGAGTGCAGTTTGGACGCAAAGGCCGCATCAACTACAGATGAAGTTGCACTTTTTCACCGCAAGTACGGTACATTGCGGATGATAAATGACTTTAAGCAGTACCCATGCTTAAACCCAATTCTAGGAATTGTCTTTGCCACTTCTTTCACTTTGGGAGGTTACTTGCACAGCTCCCGTAATGTTACCAAGAATGAGCTGGCCACCCTTGACCAAGTCAAAGATACCACCCGCACAGCCGCAGGCTTGAGCATCCAGACTCCGTCTGTCAGTGCATCTATTGGCATAGCATCTACTAGCGGTACGGGGTCGCAGGCAGGAGGTACATCTCTCAATCAAGGGGCTCGGCTCACCTGGGATGCTAATGGTGGAAACACGCTTCTCGCATCCAAGTTCGTATTTCTCCAGCAGACAATGCCTCCAGAATCTCCTTTTAATATTTCAGATGATTCTGTAATCTAATATTTGACTTTCAGTCCCACCGACTGGGTTAGCACAGTCAAAGACTACCGTCTCTGGCGTTTGATGGATGTAAGACGCCACTCCCTGTCTCTCGGATCAAGTTCTACATCTCACAAGCCCTTCACATCTAATCGATACTACAATACAGCAACAACGAGTCGTTCAGCTCGACGGCCTGATCCGGGACCTCGACAGTGTCGCGTACAGCAATTTAAACGACCCCTCCGCTTCATCCGATGCGGGCAAGGACCCTATCAAAGACCCCGATTTCAATGCCCGCATTCGTCTCGCTGTTGGTGACGCTGCATCAAATTCCGATGACGGCAATAACGTGCTGATCAAGAAGATATCGGACTATTACCGAAGCTAGCAGTACGACGCAATGCCCGCGTCTGCCGTGTATAACCTGTATAGCCAGTTCCTGGCCCAGAACTACCCTGATTCGGATGCGGCGAAGATTCCGGTGGGCATTAAGTTTAGTGGACTAACCCTAGATCAAATTGTCTACTTCGGTCTCTTCATGGCTAGTAAGGGAAACCTCAAGTTTAACTGAGTCGGGCTAAGTCCACCGCACATGCTGTGAGGCTAAGAAGGAAGCGAGGCCGGGAATTCTTTGGAAACGGTTGCGCAGAGTTTTGTAACTAGTACATCTAGTTCACAATATTGGATGGAGCACATAATGAGTTTTTGAATGCTTTATAGAGATGATTTTCAGGCGCTTCTTCCGGAGGGAAGATGATGATGTGTGCCTGATGAGTTGGCGGCTAGGGGCGTCGGCGACGTGACAGCCCAATCCTGCTACACTCCAGTGGCGCTATATGAATGTCATCATACACGATAACAGAGTTCGTATCGATATTTTGCCGATGCAGGAACTATAGTGGGCGTGTCCAGGATCTATCTTGTTATCATGAAATGTTCAAGAAAGTCGCCGGTTCTTCCATCCTCTCTGGGAGCCCCAAAGCTTGGAGTTTCCAACATAGACCCGATTAGTCAACAACGGAGGAAGACTTTGCCACAAGTGCCCAAGATCATTTGTCAATGTTGCACTGAGGCAGAAACTTTGGAACGTTGTTACTTGTTGTGCCTCCCTGTCTCGCGTTGACTTGGCGGATCCAGGAATCCTACATTATCATTATCCCCAAGGGCACCCTGACCTTAAAACGATATTGTCGTCTCGAGGAGCATTCGTCCTCTGTATTTAGGCGCAGGCAACCACACTTTCACAATACCGTGGTCAACGTAAAGTGGACAAAAATGGCACTAGAATAAAGCTCATCAATATCGACGCATATACCGTCCAACGCCGTCTCGTGACCTGTACCAGCATACTTCCTGCACTTGTACCATGTAGACAAACTCCACATGTAGCTCGCCACAAGCTGGGTGAATTATCTTCTAAGACTGGGCAAAGCTTTCTGTCTTAGCCTCCAAGCTTATGAGCACGAGCTGAGGACGACGATACTAAACTTGGATCCATGCGGCCCGCTGTCTCCCATTTCTGTGGAACGGGAATGCCTGTCGGCCCATCTTGAAGTGTGGCAGTGTTAGACAGGACCACTAGACGACTGACTGTTCGTCTAGAGGCTGAAACCTTCAACAAGGGTGGCCCTCATCGCTCCCATGTTGGTGAAACAGGAGCAGCCAATCGGTTCTCGGCCATAGCACAAAATGGGGCCTCGGAATGTAAAGGTGGCCTTTTCTCCATTGCTCTTCCTCACACATGGCGTTAGTGAAGATCTCGGAAGAAAACTGCATGTTACTTGGATGTTTACAGATCAGCGGTGAAGCTCATTGCTGTGGGCAGCATTTCTCTACGCGTTCCCTCAGGCCTGCTCCACGAGTACGTGAGCATACAAACGCTCTTGTGCCGATAGCCAGGCAAGTGCGTTCAATGACTTGAATTCAACCTGTTAGATTGCATCAATATCAGAATTTCCCAACACTTTATGGCATATCACGGGGCCACCGAAAGGTGTTTGCCTTGTCAGAATAGCCAAGTTATCGGCTTCCGAACGAGTCAAGTTGTTGAGTTCATCCGGATCGTGGCTTGCCAAGGCGACATATTCAGGGGGTTACGAGGACATCGGGCTCCTTTATGCGTTTACAAATGCCTTGGGTACGACACATAGCTTTGACAAGTCGCTTATTGGTGTCTACTAGGTTGACAGCCCGCCGCCAGCGGAGAAGTCCAGTCCGCATAATGCGGGCTATTCCTTGATGCGCCACCGAGTTTAAAAGTTCGTGATAGGGCTTAGCATCAGCCTAGTTATCATGGGGAAATGGGGTCTAGTGCCCTTCTCCCCTACATTAAGCAGGGAGACGGTCACAAGGCCGCTTCGAGGCCTTCCTGGTTACAATATGGGGCACATGCTGCGTGAGCTAGAGGAAGTCTATTTTTGCACTGACGCTACTTTCCATCTCCGCTTGGTTCTCTTGCAGCGGAGAGCGTATTTATCCTCTGAGTAACAAGTCATTGACTTCAAGAGCTTCAATTGGGAGAAGGCAAAGTCTCGAGTCCAGTGAACTTCAGGAGTCATAGCAGTGGCTGAACACTCAGGCGATGTACTTCGCCGGCGACACTGTAAATTAGACTGCCTTCTGATTTTTTCGGAGAGCTTTTCCGAGTGTGCATGGATTGTGGTTGTCAAGCGTTGCCGGTGTAGATCCTCGTCCCGCCTGGCCGGTTTCAGAAGTAAAGAATTGGGTTCTACAGTCTACTTAACATGTATGCTAAGAATGTCCACAATAACCTTGTTAATTCACTTCACGATGCAGAAATACGGACTTGGCAGCTGAGAATAGCATCGGGCACTCGGCCTTTGTACTGCCAAAGAGTCCGCTCGGCGCCGACTCTCATGGGAGAGGCTGGCCTTACTTGGCCAGGAGTAATATGGATTCAATCAAGAGGCTAAGCGAGGTGACAGTTCGCCATCATCAAATCGAATATTGAGTAATGATCAGGATGGTCGCACTTGGAACAGGAGCAGGTCTAGTGGCATCATGGCACTTATAAAAGATTCTTCATTTTCCTCGAAAAATGTTGTCCTTCTCATCATCACATCACACGGATCAGTCTTCCATCGCAACAACGAGTTGTACTTCCTTCTTTTTTCGTGCTTTTTAGTCACTCACTTAGGAACTTTCCTACCACTTTCACTTATCACCAATCTTTTGAATCAAGATGGCCGCTATCGGAGCAGTTGCAACCCTCGGCGTCGCTATGGGCAATGTCGCCACCTTTTTGGGACTTGTCTCATCGGGCATTGGCATCATGTCGGCGATCAACACGAAGCCTAAGGAGGTTGACTTCTATACTATCCGCATGGAAATCGGAGACAACCAAGATGCCGCGGGCAACCCTCCTTCCATCATCCTGTCCGACTTCTCTAACACCCAGATCTTTGGTGTCTTTGAGGGAAACAGTGACAAGCCCGAGGATCAGTGCCGCAACAATGGTGACCTGGAGCTGTTCAAGGGCCTCAAGAACGCCGAGGCGCCTATTCAGAGCTTCAAGACCAACAATGGCTTCAACCTCAAGTCTCTCGACATCCAGCCTGGTGGCAATGCTATTTGTGTCTCCAACATCATTCTCAAGGGCAGCGATACCCAGGCGAGACGTGACGAGGTCTTCATCCCCGTTGGTGATTTGGGATTCCAGTGCGGCCGTGAGTGGAACTGGGGTGCCGTGCTTAACGGTGTTCGCCAGCGCTGCATCTGGCTCGACGGTCAACCCGACGGCACCAACAAGCCCATCCAGTCCCTGCACCTCGACATGGAGAACCTCGCCGGCATTTTCAACAAGGGAAAGAACGACACACTGGCCAAGACCACCTTCGAGCAGGCTTGCAAGTACATAACCGATAACGTTGGACAGATCGCCAACCGCAACAGCTGCAAGGAGTCCTTCGGCAAGCGATCTCTTTCTGGCAAGAACCAGACCATCGACAGTGTTCCCTTCCTTGAAGAGCTCTCTGGCTTCTTCAATGGCAAGGAAGAGACGCTGACCAAGTTTGCTGGTGCTCCGTTCATCACCTCCGACAACAAGATCTGGGACGCCGCCAAGAAAGCCTTCACTGATGTTTCTCCTAAGAACGTTCCCGCTAAGCTTTCCCGACACTTCGCACGCATGGAGCAGAAGAGGGGGTTGGCTTCTACCCTGAAGGGCGAGCGCTGCGAGTATGCTGTCAATGGAGCATCCCCGGAGTGCAAGGTTGTCAAGGAATTTGCCGTTGGCTCTGCTTGATTTCGGACATTTGATTCTGTGCTATATCAGGAGATTTTCTTGTCTTTGTTTAGCCTCGTAGATTGTTTGTTTAGATTTCTCGAATGAAGCTTCAAGTTTTAGCAACCAATGTTGAATCTTGGGTCCCGTGAGGTAGTGATTCATTCACTCACACCCTGCCAAAGGTCATCTTCTGCGTGTGACCGGTGGAAAGTGAGATATGGGAAAACTAATAAGCTCTATCGGAGCTCTAGCAATCTGCAAGTGAAGTAAGATTCAGGTGACGCTCCTTTCGGATTAAAAATTGCAATTAACCTTGAAATGGCAGGGAAGAGGGCAGGGATGCTCCAGTAGGACTTCCAGTTCGGGTTGTGGGGTGCCTACACCATCAAGGACTCAACACAGGAGTTGATCAATTGCTTGGGCAGAAATATTCTCATCAGGTACTATGGTAATTGCCAGGAATAAGCCGCAGAACGTTTCACTTGGCTTAGTGCCACAGAGTCATTGAGCTGCAGTCGAACAACTTCCCTTGAAGCTTTCATTCAATGTTAGTAGGTAAGTGCGCCAAAGTGAAGTCTTCGAATCTAGCGATGGCCGATTTTCATGGTGTCACATTACGAGAAAATACATCTCGTTTATTGTAACCAAGTAGAGAATCTCACGTCAGCTTCAATTGCATGGTTCAGAGCTTTTCATTCTCTTTCATGTTCAGCTGAGCAAGTTATTAGACGCGAGAAATTCAGCGAAGGGATCAACATCCATCGTGGCTAGCCGCTGGGGAGCCGAGTCAGTAGCTAGCTGCCATTCGGGCTCACGAGGGTATGTTATACTCCTGGTTCAACCATAATCACGACCAAGCGGGACAAAACTTCTCTTGAAAGGTAACCTTAGGTTCTGACAGGGTAGATAACCCCCCCTGCGACGTCAACCCCCATGGGGATTAGAGTCTGGGGGTTGTCTAACTTGGCGAGGCAGGCAACTAGACTTTTGTCTTGGCAAGTAAGCCGCCAATGCTTCACATCGCAGCGGTCAAGGCCTCAAAATATGAGAACGATTGTAGGCCGGTCACGATTGAAATGATTATGGGGCAGCTCCGACTAGGCAGCCATTTTAGGCTCTCGTTGCTGAAGGTTTGCTGATACTTCAACCTCGACGATATCGAGGAAGGAGTCAAGGACAAGTATAAGTACCATAACTCTCGGGTGCAATTCTCACGATCGTAGAAGTCACCTCATTCAGCTCGCATCTCCTCACTCATTAACTCATCGATCCTTAAGGTTTAAGCGACAATCACCAACCCATTCAAAATGGTCTCCCTCAAGAACTTCGTTCTCGCATCTTTCGCTGGCTCTGCACTAGCCTGCGTCGATTTCGTCGCGAGCATCAACAATTTCCAATATGCCACTATTACCCTTACAGACAATGGTCAAAAAGTTTGCAGCGTCAATGGATACGGCGACGCTAACGGCTGGCGTGAGTTGACTCTATCGAGCTCTGACTTGATGACGTTACGGCAATAGCTAATTATGACTCTAATGTCAGGTCTAAACTGTCGATCTGGATACTCAGCATACATGCGCTTTCGTGACGATGTTGTTGAGTACTCTGCTCCTCATGGCTCATGGACCTTTGCGACAAAGTGCGAATACATGGCTGCACCTGGCGCTGGTGCTGCTGGTATCAATGTTTGCACTGCCAGAGTTTTCGGCTGCTAGTTAATGGCTCAACCTTCTGGAAATAGGGATGTAATCAATTGGAGAACAATGAACCTGCTATGAAGTTGGTGTTACGGATAGCGCCGGCATGGCCTCGAGAGAAAACTACATGACGACTGGCTGATGCAAGGCATATTGAATCTTAAAGGCAACAGTCGTTCCGATGCTCAATGTAAAGTTATCTATGCTTCATGGAAGAATTCGTCCTTGCTCAAACAGTTTGTTGAAGATGAAAATTGGCAGAGCCTAAACATTATGGGCATTCCAAGCCTCAATTAGGATTTCGTATCTGCATTAGACACTGCCTACCACTTTGTGGTTGGAACAGACTGCCCTTTTGACTTAGACCTAGTTCTTACTTATCTCAGTCACTGACAGGTCATCAGAGCTCAAGTTGTCATTTAACGCCGCATTCTCCTAGGATGGATCCATCATGGCAATTGATAAGAGTTAAGTCAGCTCCGGCACTAGTCGGAACATGGAGTTGACGACTAAAATTGGGGGCTCGCCTCCGAGATGCGGAGTCTAGTGGGCCATGCCAACTCTATGACATTGGATGATTTATGCGCTCATGTTCAACTTGGGCTGTCCGTCTCTCGTGCTAGAAAGGAAGAGCTTGGCAACGTTGCTAACTTTTTCAGTGTAGACACTTTGTCCACGTTGCTTCGTTCTTTGCAGATATCGCAGACTGTCAACCCAACTTGAGACTCCTTGGAACCTTGTGTAATAACGCCATCTCAAAGCCCACAGAACCCAGACTTTACCCCGCCATTCGAAGTCTGTAGCCCCGATTACCCCGCAGCAACTATGGCAAGCACCATCGACGCAGGGCAGAACTCTGATGTGCGCATCGAAGTCATCTCGCAGCCCGGAGACTTCACTCAAGTCACCGAGGTCGTCCGCGACGCGTTCGGCCATCAAGCCCGCGATGGTGTCTATCTGTCCATGAACCCCGGCTGGGATACACCCGAAGGTGTGGCTCGTGGGGCCGGCCGCATGGCTCAGCGCTTCAACACCGTCAACAAGAACAACAAGGGCGAGCCCAACGTTGTGTTCCTCAAGGCCACCGTTCCGGATCCCGAGAATGCCGGCCAGCACAGAATCGTCGGCATGGCCATCTGGGCACAGCAATCCGCCGTCGAAGGTCACGGCGACCAACCCCCGAAAGACTTGATCAAGGATCTCGGCCTTGAGTCCATCTTCCCGGGGAACGAAGCCGAGCAGCGATACGCCGCTGCTTGTATGGGATCACTCCACAAGCGACGCGAAGAGGTTATCGCAGAGAAAGCGACGGCGGCTGAGCCGGCAGTTTTCGTGCTGGACATGTGCGGCGTGGATCCCAAGTTCCAGGGTAAGGGCATCGCCAAGAAACTGGTTCAGTGGGGTCTCGATGAGGCACAGCGACGTGGCGGGCTTGAGCTACTTCTCGAGGCGTCAAGTATGGGTAGACACGTGTACTCCAAGTTGGGTTTCAAACAAGAAGGCCCGGAGATCGATTATGACGTTGAAGAGCAGTTTGCGCACCGAGATAGGCCTTCGAATATTTTCATGAGAACTGGGGACGGCCAGTAACGGTTTGAAACAGCACATGGAAGTAGTCTTGGTTTCTCAACATAGCTCGGATGATAATTACCTCGAATGATACTTATCGTTAAGTTGAAGTACTGTGAAGGTCTTGAACAGAGGGCATTCTAGGTCGGATTGATACGTGTTTATGTATCAAATACGCCAAAGGTAAAGTTCTATGAGTTCGCACATTTAAACATGTACAATGGTATTACTACAGAGGTTTTATGATCACAAGAGAATATAGGACTACAAGGATTCAAACCGCGTTGGATGTAGTTTCCTGCTTGGTATGATGCTCAGAGAAAGGCCTCTCGTCGCCTGACTTTTCTTTCGGGTTGCTGTTATCGGTGTGGACCGACGCCCTCTGGAAAGCAGACTCCTCTTTGTCCTTTCGAGTGATGTAACCTGGCGGAACCCACTTGGTGGAGGAGTAGGGCTTAACACTTGGATCGCTGTACATCCTGTCGACGTTCTCGAGGGACAGCATCTTCGTCTCGTAGAGGAAGAACCATACGAGGAAAGCGGCGGCCAAGTTACAACCAGCAAAGACGAAACCGTACGCGAATGAGATCCCATTCGTAGCAAAGGGCGTGAGGAATGAGATGAGGAAGTTACCCAACCAGTTGCCGGCCGTTGCGAGAGATGCCTGCTTAGCTCTGGTTCGGAGAGGGAAAGTCTCTCCAATGACGCACCATGCCATAGGTCCCCAAGTCTATACCATATTTGTAAGTAAAAAGAAGCGTCTAAGTTGACAGGGGCAAGCTTACGCTAGCGAAAGAAGCAATGAACATGCAAGCCGAGACGATCATGACGATGCCGCTGGTTGCGCTGGTTTCGGGAGGAAGGGCAGTGCCGACGGAGGCGAAGATTGTAAGCCAGGCAAATTGCCACAGAGCACCGATGAACATAGGCCAACGTCTACCGTATCTTTCAACGGCATAGAGACCATAGAATGTGCACACAACGTTGACGGCACCGAGAATAAGTTGAACCATGATGGGATCATCAATACCGGCTGACTCGAAGATCTGTGCTCCGTAGTAGAAGAAGTAGTTGATACCGGTCCTATGATAGATATTAGAAGCTGTTCTCATATGTTGGAAAGTGAGGTGTCGCGACGTACCACTGCTGCAGGAAATGAATGCAGATACCCAGGATAGTCCGATAGACAGTCTTGGGGATTCCAGAGGATCCAGTGAAACACTCGAGCCAGGTACCGTATCCCGTCTTGGATTCTTCTTCGATGACCTTGAACATTTCCTGGAGATCCTTTTCGACGGTCTCGTTGTGCGGATCGTCCTTAAGGCCTCGGAGACGCGCCATGGACATGCGAGCGCCTTCCCAGTCCTGACGACCTGCAAGCCATCGAGGAGATTCGGGGACGACGAGGATTCCCAAGCCCAAAGGCAGGGAAAAGCCAATACCAAGACCAATAACGATGCGCCATGAAGCGTCGGACTCTTGAATATTGCGAACGCCGAAGTTGATCAAGTTGGAAATGAGAATACCGAAGGTGATGAGAAGCTGGTATGAAGCGACGACAGCGCCACGAATCTCGCGGGGAGAGCACTCAGACTGGAACATGGGCACACCAATAGACAGGTTGCCAACTCCCAAACCAGCGACGAATCGACCCATCATCATGTGAACCCAAGAGTTCATGGCTGAGATCTGAATGATGTTTCCAATGATGAAGACACCAACACCAAAACTCAAACTCCTTCGTCGACCCCACCAGTCGGCTGTGTAGGCACCTGAGAGCGCACCAATAAGAGTACCGATACTCATGAGCGAGACCATGAGAGACTGGGTGATGGGAACCCATTGTGGAATACCATCAGCGTCTGGAGCGCCGGTGGCGAAGCGTCTCTTGAAGTCCGTAAACAGAAGCATGGATGAGATTTGACCGGTATCGTAACCGAAAAGGAAGCCCCCTATGCTGGTGATAACACCGAGCAAAAGCGACTCGATACCGCAGTCGGCGCCATTGATGCGGATGGACCTAACCAGGGAATTAGTTACTGTGAGAAGAACCCGTAGTATTTTATTCTTACTTCTTGCCCAAGCCCATGATTTCAGAAGCTCGTGGACGCTATGGATCTCTTGAAAGTGGGTGGGTTGTGGAGTAGTCCGTAAGGGAGCAGGAGCTCTTCGCTCAAGGACTCATGCAGATATCCTAATAGTCCAGTGAAGGAGTCGCGGAGATAAGAGGAAGGGACGTTTCAAGCTCGTAGTGTAGGAGCAAGGGAGCTTGGGAAGTGCTGCTCATGTCTCTCGAGTATGCACCATGATGGTTTTATACTGCAGCCGCATCCTGCCACTTCGCAGATGTGGACAAACCAGTCGGCTGACCGACTACAATGATTGGAAACGATCCTATGACGTTGCCCCAGAGGCCGACTCGGTCCTATCCTTTCTCCATACTGGGGCGTAGACCAGCAAGGTTGATTAAGGCTTGATAGAAGGTGTGGGAAGACCTTGGGAAGTATCCTGGCTTGTTGTATCCATACATGGACATAGTCCACTTTCATCCCACGCCATCATCTGGGGGAGACAGGAAAGGCGCCACCCACGCGACCGACGGCCGGAAGCCCCATGCATCGACAATCCGGGGTTGGAAGGGCGCCGCGCATTCCATCAAGGCGGGATTTGGTGTGAGCGAGTCGTGCGAGCTACAGAGGTCGCAGTGCCAACGAGCTGACAACTTCAGGTCGGACAATAGACACGCAGGACAGGTCAAAAAGCACCTGTTCGTGGGGCTCACCCCGTCGACAATGGTTGGGAGACTTGAGGGTGAGGCTTTAGATCGGCTGCTTGGCCCCCGTCATTGCCGACAGCGAGGCAGGGGTACGCGGACATTGGCATACGGAATCGATTTGTGAAGCCAAGACACCGGCTTATGCTGCCAAGGTAAGTCCACGGTGGGAGGCCAAGCTCTCAACGCGCGACCGAGTCTCCCTGGAACCTGTGCCAGACTGGTGATTCTTACACCTAAATGGATGTCAAAGTGTGCTCAACGCCCTTCTAAGCCATGCAATAGGCGAAGGCGGAACGCGGCAACGTGGGGCCGACTTTGCACAACGCAACGTCTTGGAAGTGAACACCAGAAATAAAAAGTAATGACGATCCCCAGACCCTCACGTGCGAGTCAGACAGCGGCGCGTCCGACCTGTTACTACTTGAGCCTTGCAAGTCTATCGCGCTGTACAACGCAGCCGGGTCACTGGCTGGCTCCGAGACATAGTGTGACGTGCCTAGACTGTGAGTGCAACGCGTTCTACCTAAATTGGCCGCGAGCTTCCAAGTCCGATGGCTGGGCGAATGCTGGCAGTTGACGAAGTTGTGTTTTTCGGTCTGGGCAGACCAACGCGAGTCAATGCCATCCCTGCGGTATGCCAATGCATCCTCGTGGTCCAGTGCGCTCCCACGCTCCTACGCTTCGCGAGGTCTACCTGCGTGCTGATAAAAAGTCTGTCATTCACCGTTGAGAACTTGAGAATATCTCGCTTCTAAGATTCTCATGCGGATGTTAATTGGTATCCGGTAAGGGGAAGCATGTTTGACTTTGATCTAACAGTTTGCATCGCGTTCATTGATTAGCTCTGCTGTTCCCGTATCACCATTTTTCTCAAGGTCTTCTCTACATCGTTGCACAAATCCCAACGTCCTTCTCGCTTGATAGTTTCACATTCCATTTTAAAGCTTCCATCATGCTTCTCCGCCCATCTTCCTGGAACCCCCATGGGACATCTGTTATGTAGCTATACTTCCGAGAGCCTCCCATCGGGGCAACCGGGGAACTTGACCGCCATGCGCGGAGCGTCGGGGCCCCAAATTGCGTGCCCCGTTCTCCGCAGTTTCGGGGTGGAATGTGGAGTGTAACGGTCCGATTGCGAGTGGGAATTGTCCAAGACTCTCGCTGTATTCAACGGACCGACTCGAATGTCTTTGATGGGGAAAGGAGAAATGATAAATGGAGAGCTATGTCTTGGCTTTCTTCGACTTTCACACGTCTGCTGCCATCTATTTCGAGTTTTCTCCATCCTTTGCTCAATCGCTGCGACTAATTCCCCAACCGCCCCCAGAGTAATCCCCCTTTCCCCATGCTTTGCACCTTCATATGACCGTCTCAAACTTTTCGATGCTGGTACTGTTCCCGGTCTGCTGTTCATCCCGCACTTCAGTCTCACCGGAGAGCCTCCGAAATCCTCCGCACTCCTGAGTTTGGGGAGGAAGGGATAAAAGAGGGTCGTGGTACCACAGAGTCGGTGAGCTCGATCATGGCCTCTTCTAGAACGAGTGTCGAGCAGCTGAAGCCTGACCGACCATGCTCTCCACCGAATACGGACTCGGGACAATTCGGAAAGCTCGCCACTTCGCAGAGTTGAGAATCAGACCTACGTTCCGCTTGAGTCCCGTGAGAAAAGTTCGCTGCTCAAGTAGTAAGCGAATGAACTTTCCGTTTCCAGGGCGGCCGGGGTCCGGGTACAAATGGTAGGCTGTATATGGCCACAGAAGAAGAAAATTTCGTCTAGACATGCTACTGGCTCGCTAGCTTAGGGGACCCCTTTTCTACAGCCTGAAGCACGAGACCGAATTCTCAATAACGCACCTCAGTCTATGTGAACCACGTCTCCTTCTCTGAACCCCGGAGAGTGATCTTGCGAGTAGCCCTTCTGGTTCGTATATACTCGCTTTCCTGTTGTATCGTCCACGAAATCGCAGTTGTAGTGTGTATGACCGAACGCCCAGAGCTTGACCCTAGGGCTCTTCCAACAGGCTTCGCCTCGCAAGTCCGTTTGGAAACCAGATTTGACGTCGCTTTGAGCGTGACATGGCTTGACAGCACGGGTGTCTTCGGTCGGACTGTGATGCGTGAAGATGATAATCCTGCGATCAGCGTCGGTTGGCACGGAGTTTACCCTGTCATTCAACCACGTCAGATCTTCCTTGCGTAGTTGGCAATGTTCTTCGACAGTCCAGCCATCGATTTCGCGGAAGTCGTTTAGGCCGTTGCTGACTGGCGTCATCTTCGATGATGGAACGTTGGAGAATAGAGTGCATCCCAGTACGGTGATGTTGCTGTCAGGGAATTGGTACTCTCTTTGATACATAAAGACAAACTCGCCAACGGGGCTTTGAGGATTCTTCTTGCGTTCGTTTCGAAATACATCCTCGAAATTTTCCAGCGTCTCCCACGCGTTGTCCCAGCTGGAACCATAAGGCTCGTGATTCCCGGGGATGCAGAACACAATGCGAAATTGGTCCAGCAAGTTTCTGAGAAAGCCAACGTAGCTGGGGTCCTTGACACATCCGATGTCGCCGATCAAAGCAAGATACGGTGCTGCTGGTACGATGCGATAATTTGAGTAGTTGTTGTGTTCGAGATGCAAATCGGACAAGATCTGGAAGGAGGCCATTTTGCGGTATGTGACGAGATGGTGAGTACTGTTGTGTTTTGTAATGTGTCGCCGAGGGGGTATGACTGCCCTGATTGCTCTTCCTTCGTCTTTGCTTCCTTATATATGCTAGCAAAAGTTACCGGCACGTGCTGAATCCATACCATTTACTGAGAGCAATGGAGAAACCAGAAAGGCTATGTACCTCTATGGTGCTTGCTTGTGGTGCCTAAAGCAAATGTAAGAAAAATTATCCTCCAAGTACCTTGATATCGAGAAACCCAAATTGGACTTTCATATGAGTCAGAGATACACGAATACACTTTCACTGGAAGTCATGAAGCCCTTTTGAGATCTGAACACGATCCTGCTTATCCTCATCCGGCGGGAAAGGTCCCGATACATCAGCCGCCATCAACAACTTCATTCATTACGCACAGGAAGTGGAATTTTCAATTTCTTCAGGATCTGCCTCTAGCAAATGCCTCCGTTAACTTCAAACTAATGTCTAGAAACTGAGGTTCAAATTCGACAATAATTCCCTCATCTCACAGATCCTGCTGTCCTTGTGGGATTTCTCTAGCCTATCTATAAGAGCCTGCATCTGCAACATCATATTTGGCCACTCATCCTCTGAGATACAGGCGTCAATTATCCTAGTCGCAACATACGTCATAGCCCGACAAGCAAGTCTGGTATATTCGTCGTCTCTCCCGCTCTCAGCTACCATATGCCGCTTTGGAAAGATAGTTATGCTTCGGATGTAAGATGTCAGCACCCGATACTGTTGCATACGGGTCAGGTACATGGTGCGGGAATCAATACACCTCCAGTCTCGGAATGAAAGTACAAAGCAATTCGCGTTTGTCGGCCAAAGTTTTCGTAAGTTTGCAATATTTGCCACGAGTTAGTTGGCACGGAAGCCCTAACGAAGCTGGTCATCCAATACGGCGTGGAAAGCTGCACTCGGACGTCTCTGACGGAACTCGTACAGATTCTGGTATACACCAAGGTAAAATAGGGGTTCTCTTCTGAGCCCAGTTTTCCATTCGCTGTTCAGAAACGTCATTCGGAACATTTCGGCTTTTGCTAGGCGCCTCTCAACTGTATCCATAGCCTTGCGCCGACGCCTCCGTTGCCATTTCCGGAATGAAGAGTCGTCGGCTAGTCTATGCAGCTTCTTCGCCGCTCTGCGCATCCAATCAGGAACATGATACTTAACACCAACACCGTGTTTGTTTAGAATATTCTTCATCAAGCCGTCGAGCCGACCCTCGCCAGCGGCTCTGAACATTCGTATCATGACGTCGATTTCGTCTACCTCGCGCTTGAAGCGGACCCCATCCACGAGTTCTTCCCCGAAATAGTGTCGAGACAAAGATAGTACACGGTTTAATCGGCAATGGCTCTTGTCTTGAACTTCGTTCAACTTCGTTGGGTGCCGGTAGACAGTCCATTGTCTATAGGAATGTGAGTTTTACACTGTCCGAGACTTGACGAAGGGTGTTTGCGGAGTACCTACCTTAGATAACCGCAAGAAAAGGCGGCAAAGGGACTTCTAAAAAGTTGCGTGTAGGAATAGCGGGCTTGAATCTCCTTGTGGATGTCGGCGAGTGGCTTCATTATTATCTCCTAGCCAGCAGCGGTAATTGTGCACATTGTCCGAGACAATGTGTTTGTGAAATATCAGAGACCGAGGTCTAGTCTTTGTCTGTAACCTCTTTGTATTGCATAGATAGAATTGCTCGCTCAAACAGCCATGGGTTTTGTTTCCAGTTGATACTCATCGGGCCTGCCTTTGTTGTTGGTTAATCGATGTCAATACCACAACGCTACTGACGTTGAAAGGAGTAAGCGCGTTGATTGTTCCCTCTCTGCACGTACTTCAAAGTTGAAGACCATCCTCTGTAATTTCGGGATCTTGAGAAGCCCGGGAAGAAACAGAACCCGGATGTTCAACTTCTTCATCTTGGCAAGCTCGATGATGGGTCGTTAATCAATGCACATGATGTGGCTTGCGGCAGTTTCGTTGTCCAGGTCTACTTAACAAGTACACTTGAAATGGCTAGAAACCCAGAATTCCCGGGTTTTTTATTCGAGGTTTGATCGATTCTATCAAAAATGTATTCATTGCCATCATGATATGACATAGAGTTGTGAGTGATGGGGTGCCCCAATCGCTGACTGAAGTTATCCGACACCATCTAACACACACTCCTAGTAGGAACTGGCCATGGCGCTCAATCGGCCACCGTCAATGACCATGATTGAGCCATTTGAATAGCTGCCGGAACGACTGGTAAGGAAGAGAATTGCTCCAGTCATCTCCTCATCGCCTCCAAACCTCCGTGCCGGAATGAACTTTGTATCATCCGGAGATTCAGTCTCTGGCTTGCGGTCACCAATAAGTCCCGCGGCGATCTCTGAAGGAAATACTGAATATGACATTTTAGTCTCCGTGGATCTAAGACGCAGGATGAGAGTGATGGTACTTACGTCCTGGGGCGATTCCGTTGACGCGAATGCCGTGTCTAGCCAGTTGGCTGCTGGCTTGCTTGGTGAGCTGCATGATGGCAGTCTTGCTGGCCAAGTACGGAGGTGTCGAAGAGAAGTGCCGACTGAAAGCCGAAATACTGCTCGTGAAGATGACTTGACTCTGAATGGCGATGACATCACTGCCTTCCTGGTCCGGCTTGCCGAACCCGCCCTTGAGAGCATTCTTGTTCCCAGCATCAAGGAGTTCGAGGAAGGCCGACATGGTGAAGAAGGCAGCTGTGATGTTGACGTGAAGAACTTCGGTCATCTCCTCCATGGAAAACTCATCGAAGAGAATCCTCTTCAGATCGGATACGGAGTGTGCCGGGTTGAAGCGGACTGACGGTCCAAGGATTCCTGAATTCGCAATGACGAGGTTGACATAGCCGACTTCATTCGTGATACGGTCGACAATAGACTGGAGGTCTTCCTTTGAAGTGACATCGCACTTGTGGGGGATCAGATTAGGGTGCTCTTTGGCTGCGGTCTCGAGCACCTCAAGACGGCGTCCAAGAATGTAGACCTTGGCGGCACCCTGAGAGACCAGGGCCCTCGCCATCGTGAGACCAATACCTAGAAGATGGTCTCAGCATTGGTCTGATGCTCATCGAATCATTAACGGAGATCGCATACCTGTCCCACCCCCGGTGATCACGGCGACGATGCCGTCAACTCTGAAAATCGCGTTCGAATCCATTATTTCGTCTTCTTCTGGCGCAGTCTTTGTAAGTTAGGGTATATTTCGATTAAGAAGGTCCGTAAATGTTCCCCGTGGTGTTATCGGACTTCTCCATCATATATACTTCAGTCCCCGCGCCAATGGCCGGACAACAGACGTGGCGTTCAAAAGGTGTAAGCACCTCCTGCAGCCACATCCGTGCCTTGAGCCAGGTTACAGCTTGAACTTCATGGACAAAGGATCAACAGGCAGCGTCTCAACTAAAATCCTCAACCAATTGTGCTTCTCGGTGATGAGACCCACTTTATCTCGCAAAGTCGTCACAAGTAAGAGCGCCGATTGTTGTCCTATTGAGGCAACCTGAAAGCGACGGCTTCAAATCCCGACAACGACCGGCAGCATTGGAGGAAAGATGACGGTGATGATCGCCGGTCAGATCAGGTTACAAATAAGATAGGTTTGCAAATCAAGCCATTTTACAAATCGAATCGATTTACAAATCAGGTCTGGCTGGGGTCAGGCGGCGCTCCGCCTGGAATGAAACGACCTTCGGCGGGGCTCCTCCTCAATTTTTGATCGTGATTTTTCCATGACGATAACTTACCTATAGCCCCAGTCTATTTGAGCTCTCCTTATCACACTATCTTAAGTTTCCAAACTGACCATGTATCTCCCCTTTTAAGCCTGTAATATCGTTTAATGCCAGCGGCACCTACAACACTATCCTCGCTACACAATAGCCGGCAAAGCCTGCAAGTATGGTGCAGAGGGCTGAGAAATAGTTTCCTGACTTAAAGAAGCGTACACCTCATGGTCGCTAGGTTCCTGAGGCTTCATAGAGCTTGGGGTCGAAACAAATATTGAGACAGGGTCGACGTGTTGTATTAAGGTAGTTTGTAAACGAAGAACAGCTCTATTGATTCTCCGACTCAATCTACGTACCTTGATCTATGGGTCCGACACGGTTTGTCTATATTATAGGACGTCGTCTAAGTCTAGTAAATGCTCCAGTCACCATTCATCTTCAGGTCAGGCGTGTGGATTCCCTGCTTCTCCTTCTCAATCTCCTCTTGCATGGTCCAATTAGGTTCCCATTTGAACCCCTTTGGAAGGTTAGTATGCTCAAAGGGAGTCCCATTCTCTAGATGACTGCGGCCTTCGGCAAATTTATCAGTGGCGTACTTCGCCGGATCGTGAGTCCAAATCCATTTACCAAGCCCCATGGGGCCACCCTTTGCTGCGGATTTCATCACCTCCTCGAAGCCACCTTTACGATGCATTTCTCGTCGATTAGCGAATCCAAGACGCTGGAGGGTAGAAGCGCGTCGAATGCTAAGAGAGTCAATCGCAATTCAGTCAGCTTAGTTCAAGGCATCACAGGCCGTATGCATGGGAGCTTGGGAATGTACCGTAACAACTCGTGAACCTTGGTCCCGATATTAGCGTCTTTCTTGCCGGCAAGTCGCAAGCATTCAGCCAAAGATTGAGCATCTTCGAGCGCTGTGGATGCACCGGATATCGAAGACGGAATGAAAGCGTGCGCACTGTCACCAAGTTGGAGAATTCGACCCTCGGGCGATGTCCACTTTGGCTGAGGATCGCGCCAGCAGAGCTGCCATTTGACGATGCTGTTCTCAGGGATGTTTTGGATGCCTTCCAAAATCAAGGGGTCCCATCCTTCGGTCACTGGCAGCTTGCTGACAAATTCATCACCAGTGATGGTCTCGGCCCAAGATTCTGATGCGGTTCCATCATCCTATCATGGTAATTGTTAGTCAATTCCTCTACGAGGAAAATAATATTAGTCGCGACTGTAGTTCGGTAAAAGCGGCATACCGGCATCGTGATTGCAATGACAATGGAGTCATTCGCTGTGATAAAGATGCAATGGAAATCGTCACTTGGAAGTCATAAGTAAGCACACTGAAGAAATGTTCAATTGTCCGCAAGGAACTTACCCGGAGTGAGTGCGCAGATCAGGTCTTGTGGTCTTGATCAGCTTTCCATAGAGGTTCTTGTTCTTCACCGGGTCAAGACGATAGAAGATGCGGCAAATGACGAATCCTGTAGGAACAGCCCTGATAGCTTCTCCCATGACCACTTTGTGAGACTTGGTGCCGAGACCATCAGCAGCAACCACAATGTCAGCCGTCAGTCGCTGACCATCAGCAGTGACCGCAGTGGCAGTTCCTTCAGCTGCATTCTCAATGTAGTCTACGACGTTCACGCCGAACTTGACTGGGATGCCTAGACGCATGCACTGGTCGTAAAACATGATGGACATGCCCGGTCGGCTCACCATGGTCCTGATTCTCAGGGGCCAGGCAACGTGGGGCTGAACGTCGTCTCTGTTGTACTCGAACTCTTGAGGAGGGCAAACTTCTTCGCCGTCGAGTCTTCGGTATGAACAGAACGCATCCCACGACTGGCGATGGTACTCTTTAAGCATGCTCGGGTAGTCCTTGAAAGTTGCGAGGGCAGATGGGCCGATGAAAATCACATCACCTATGCCCAAGTATCAGCTTGTCTCAAATACCTCCGAATTTTCAGTCTTTCTGTTCTTGGATATGAAGCTTACCAATTGTTGAGTTTTTGCTGTTCTTCTCCACAACTTCAACATCGTGTCCTTTTTTCCAGCACTCGAGAGCGGTCAGTAGACCGGCAGGACCACCACCAACGATGAGAACCTTGAGACCTGTAGAGGGCCATCGAAGTACGCCGTCTAAGAAAAGGCTCTCATGTGTTGGCTTGGGAACAACATCGTGTGTGGAACTGCCCTTGTTTTCTTGGGCGACGAGAGTCATAGCTAGTGCCTTGAGATGTCTTGTAAGAAAGGAATTTATTGACACGATTGCTGAAAGGAAAGAATTATGCTGGTATAACTGAGATCTCAAGACTGAATCTTCAGCTTAAATACTTCTCCAATGCAGTAATTGCTCGTGTTTTTTGACAATAATATCTCAACGGCCCAGTGACGGCTTACACGGTCAAGAAACGGGGCATGTTGAGTGGGGCTCGATGTTGACGGCGTTACCATTCCGGCATGCATGGCCGACGGCTCGGAACGTTGGTCGTCCCCGATTCTCGGTATTAAATGCTGTATCTGTATGTGGTAGGCCGCCCAGGGTTTCCCGAGGCCGTTGTGGAGCGCGTCGGGAGCGGGCCATCAACAGCCAAATCCTTTCTCTGAGGAATAGTCTAATTCGAGGGAATAATCGTGATTGGGTGAGCTGAATCGTATACGCTCTTGCATTGAGTCTCGAATTAGGGGTTGCTAGTCTTGCATCTATCAATCCGACAGCTTAGCTGAACTCAACCAGCATGACATTGAGATGATTGATCGAAGGCCCGCTAGTCTACGACTTCGGATGGGTTATGCTAAAAGCTTATCTTCAAATTGACATGATCGCATAATTATCCTAGGGGAGTTTTGCCAACGAGCTGCCTCGAAATACTCCTTGTCCCCCGGTTAATCTTCCAGTTTCATGTCCTCTTCTTCGTGCTCTAGATACGTCGCGGGCTTCATCGCATGGTGAACAAACGCTTAACGAACCGACTGAATGGGGCCATCAACGGCCAAATCCGAACGTCCGAACTCTGGGCATGCGAACCCATGTCCGGATGAACTATCGAAGACGCTCCCTCGCGGATTCCCAAGGAGGGCACACGCATTCAGCCTCACCAAGCCACACCAAGGGGCAACTCGGTGGGATGCAGCCTGCAGCTCAAAAATCCATGTCCGGGCCTGGAAAAGACCACAAAGCAAACAAACAGCTGCAGCTGGAGATTGTCGGAAATATCCCTGTGATGTGGTCCAACGAAATGATTGCCACGCCCGAGCAACCGTGCCGTGCATCAGACATCACAAGCAACTGCATGCTGTTATCGTACGAGCTCCATTCTTTCTGTGGCACCGACCGTGTTACGCGCGTTGCTTTCTTTCTGGGGATGTTTCCTCGCTGCAAAGAGTGTCTTCGCCGTGATCCCGCATAGTTAAATCCGGCCAAGGAGAGGGGTATCAAGGAAAGGCTGGCAGATACACTAGGTTCTCGATGGCATTAAACTGCTTGCATTGGGCTTCCGATTTTCTGCTTCCTCGTATCAGTTGCACAAATCTCAGTTTCTCCTGAACTCGGCAACGGTTCAATCAATGCCTTTCTAGTGTCTTTCTCACAATGCTTGCAGCCAACTCCTCTGCTGTGCCTGGCACGGTGAGCGTCGAACCATCTATACAAGCCAATAACATAGTTGAGCTCGTTGCGGACGAGGTGTGTGAGCCACTTTTGAGTCTATCACGAAGCTGACTTCGTACCGTAGGCAACGAACGACAGTTCATCGGAGATCGGAGACGTGAGTAAAACCTTAGTTCAGCGAGAGCCCGTGGCCATAAACGGAGCTAAACAATGTATTCAGAGCATTGCTTCTTCAAGCACGAGTGTTTCAAGCTCGATTCTTGATTATAGACTCGAGAATGGCCGAACTTACCACAAGTACAAAGATGGCCGTGAGCATTGCCCCGATGGGACATCGTCATTAAGAGCACACCTGACGCAGCTGTTGTAGAATACCATATACCCAACGATGCATCGGAGTCTGACAGACTTGGTAAGTTCTCACATTGTCATTTCGCTACTCCCAGCTTGCCCCAACTGCACTGACAAGCAAGTCAGATTTGCAACATAACCTCTTTCTCCTGACCCTAGATAACAAGCTGGGTCTCGCGCCGCCGAACGCCCCCGACTCAAGGGTGAAGAGGGTTCTTGATGTCGGCACTGGAACTGGAATCTGGGCAGTTGACTTTGGAGATGAGCACCCTGAAGCTGAGGTATGTGCTGACTGGTGAATTTTACGATGCAATGCTAATGGCGAGAATAGGTCCTCGGCATTGATCTGTCTCCTTCAATGCCACAGTTGTAAGTAGTGCACAATCTTACTCCAGCTATTGACCATATCAGAGACCCCGCTTGTATGCGAATATAGGGAACTGACATCTCCAAGCATCCCTCCCAATGTCAAGTTCGAAATTGACGACCTAGAGGAGCCATGGGCTTACTCGCAGCCGTTCGATTACATCCACACACGAGCGATGAACTCCTCAATCACTGATTGGAAGGTCTATATCAAGAAGTGTTTTGAGTAAGAACTTCTTGTGAAGAACAAGACATACTTCATTGGACCATGGTGATTAACTTGAATTCCAGCAACCTCAAAGGCGGAGGGCACCTCGAGCTGCAGGAGTATGATGTGTTCGTCAAGTCCGACGATGATACCCTGAAGCCGGACCACGCTGTCTCCAGATGTGTCGATCTGATCTATGATGCATCAATTAAGTTCGGAAGACCCTACCAGCACATTGAGCCGCTCGCAGAGATGATGAAAGAGGTCGGATTCGTCGATGTTGCACTCCATAGCGACAAATGGCCCTCGAACGCATGGGCTAGGGATCCCAAGTATAAGGAATTGGGCATGTGGAACCACGAGAATATGTCTTCTGGTGTTGAGGGCTTTACTATGGCCGCTTTCACGCGAATCCACAACTGGACGAAGGACGAGGTGCAGGCCTTCCTGGTTGACGTCCGGAAGGACCTGAAGGACAAGTCTATCCATGGATACTGGACAGTGTTAGCAATGCGTGATTTCCAGAATTGGCAATATCAGCTAACATCTCATTGCAGGTATAACATTCACGGAAGAAAGCCAGAGGCAGAGAAGACTGAAGGGGGGCAACAGTGAGGTCGCAGACGCCCTGTCTAATGGGAGTGAAGTCATGTTGACGGAGATATCATGCTTAGCTATAGTAGTGCTCACGAATGGAGAAATTGTGTGAAACTCTTCGAAATTCGGTATGCGCAGTCAGGAGCTGTGCTTGTTCTCCCAGTGCTCCGGGCATTCTCATTGATGCCCCATTACGACTTGTCCGCATCGCTCCAGTCTAGTCTTCCAGGCGTCCGCACAATTTGGGTCATGGTAAGCTATAGATGGGCCATGAACGGCAGGAAAGCCTTTTCTACACAAAGCCCTGGGCTTGAGCAAGTTTTGAAAGCACGAGCCTCGCGAGAGACGGGAGGTTCATACGCCATTAAGCCACTTTGGTTTGGCGACCGAGGTCATCGTGAAGCTTAAATGTTGCCTTCCGGAGATAGATCTGGGATAATGGTATATATTGCGTTTAATTTCTTTCCGAGAACCATCGATTCGATTGGCCGTCCCCATTCTCCCAATACAAACACATACTGTTCTGCTCCTTGACCACCTAGTACTCAAATCAACACCACACTTCACCACACAATTGAGTCAATCTCGTCAGCACCGACCACTCTGAATTACATAACGGCACAACCAATTATATCAGTCAATATGTATATTCCGAAGAAATCCATCAATCACTTCCTCGCTATCCACGACATTGGCATCTCCGACGCTAAACGCAAGGCCTTGGAAGACGGAATTAAGGGCAACCTACAAATGTCCCTCCCTGCGGCGCTCGTCATGATACTGCTCTGTTTTATCTTCTTCATGCTCTTAGCATTCGGGGCTAGTTTGCTCGTGCATTATCTTGAGGGCCGGTATAATCCACCAGCGCCACCACAATACTACTACGGAGATAACCGAAGAAGGTTGCCCGAACTGCTCGACTCTGCGGACCAGACAGACTCGCTCCCTCGGTATGAGCGCGAGGAGCCTACTGAGAGACCACTTCTTGATTTCGAAGGAAGTACACCGCCCCCCGCCTACGGCACCGTCTTCCACATTCCTGCGCCATGTAACGACGACGAGGACCATCCAGCAGATTCGTCATCAGGTGAATCAGACGGAAGTGATGCTCCTCACATGGTCTAAAGGACCCTACATCTCCTTGCAACTACACGTGCCTACCAAACGATGCATCTAGAGCCTCTTCGCAACTTCCCTCTCGCCTAATTTTTCTTGGCATCTGCTGTTAGTGAATGAGTGAGCCTACCACCAAATTACTAACAGCCGAAAACTCTTCACCTCCCCTTGCCGGAGCCCGCATCCGCGATGGCCTCACAGCCGCCGTCGGGCACCGGACTGATGTCGGCCGACCAAGCCGACCCCGAACCAGGCTCCGGGACACCTCCGGAGCCGAACCCCACCTCAAGAGCTAAGCGACGCCGCGACGTCGAGGCACAGCCGACCCGGCCCAGCCTAACGGGAAGCCAGCTTGATGCCACCACCGACGCCCCTACCTCGGCCGAGGGGCCCGCAGCCTCTACCGCATCTGCTCCGAGCGGATCTGCCACAGGGTCCGTCTTGACAGCCCTTGCAGAAGAAGCTAGACAGTACGAGGCACGGAAAGACGTCTTTCTGACCATTGCACGGTCCGTCGACAGCGTTGTCGCCAGCTTTGACGGTTCTAGAAAGCAGATCGCGAAAGAAGCCACTGCCTATGTCATTCAAACCCTCAAGAGACTGATCAATCACGAGACAAGCCCAATAGCGGCCCGGAGTTGGGCGGCTGTCGTCGCACCGATGGCGGGCAACACCACTGCGGCGACCCGGAGCGGCCAGAGCTGCCAGAGCTCTGCCCGCCCGAAGGCCACACTCCCCGCCGAGGATCAGCCGCAGGCGCAGCCGAAGGAGGACCTCCGCATCTTTGCCCGCGTCCCGGAAGAAAGCTTAGCGGCCGCTCGGAAGATCGCACCGTTCGCCGTACGACAGATCGTCTGTAAGGCCGTTGGCCTGGGGCTAGCGGACCTTCCCCACGTCTACCATATCAGCACAGGTTACTCTCTGAAGCCGCGAAACAAGCAAATACAGGAAAGACTACTTGCAAGTAAGGCAAAGCTGGCGGAATGCCTCGGCGCCCACCAGGTCGAGACGCCTATCAAGTGGTACACTTACGTTGTGCCGCGATGCCCAACAAAACTACACAGCATTGGCGGGGACGTCCTGGACCCAGCCACACTCGTTGAAGATGAGGTCTTCGCACAGACAGGACAGAAGCCTGTCCTTGCTCGACCGTCCCGCCTTGGGCCCAACCCAGTCACGAACGAAATATCTTGGCTCATATCATTCACATCAGAGGTCACGCCCTTCAGGCTCTTCAACCAAAGCGGCAGATCTCTGCCCGTCAAGAAACGAAGGACGCTCATCCGACACGACCCCGGCTGCCAGGGCTACCACTCCAACCGGTTCTGCGGACGACGACCGATCTGCAGCAACTGCGGAAGACCTTCCGATTCACACGAAACGGGACCCTGCATGGCCAGGCCCCAATGTGCCAACTGCTGCGGCCCCTTCCAAGCCAGCCACACAGACTGCCCAGCGAGGCCCTCGGCCGTAAACGGCGTCGTCTCCCTTCCCGGTCGAAAGGAGCGGGCTCGGATCCGGAAGGCCGGCCAGAAAGCATCGGACACTCTGTACAAGGCTACTCGATCCGACAGTAGCCAGGAGGCGGCAGGCGTCCCTACCTCCACCAGCCAGAACCAGCAACCCGGCGCCAAGCGCGCGCGCACGAGAACGCCCTCCGCAAGCTCGATCGTTTGCCTCGGTGACGGAAGCACTGACAGCAGCAGCATGGATGAAGACGAGGCGGACGAAGGCGAAGGCGAAGACTCCCCCGACAACACCTCCATCGACCGTCCCGTGCTACCCATGCCAAGCAGGAGCCAACGGGCAGCACAGAAGCCAAACTACAACGTCGCGAATGCCTACACCCACCTCGAACTCGACTCGGAGACGTAAGCCGAGAGCGGCGACCCCACGGATGCTACGCGTTGCGCAGGGCAACGTCGGAAAGATCTCCCCGGCGCACACGGCTTTCCTGCAGCTCTGCTGGGAGGCTCAGATAGATGTGGTCCTCGTCCAGGAACCCTGGACGGGCTGGAAGGACGGAAACGTGCAACTGAACACGCACCCGGGTTTCGACTCTTTCGTCCCGGTCGACTTCTGGGACAGCGAAGGAACCAGACCAAGAGTATTGACCTACACACGCAAAGGGATAGGGATGACGGTGGAGCAGCAGAGGCCTGTCCACACGAGAGACGTACTGTGGCTGGTGGTCGACAAAACGACGACTATCGTCAACGTGTACAGACAACCCCGCGACCCCCACAGCCGCACAACAGGGATACTGCTAGAACTCAAACCCCCGGAGCGAGCTTTGATCGCGGGTGACTTCAACGCGCATCACTACTCTTGGGAGCCCGGGACGAGGAACGGGAACCGGGGAGATGACATCGCAGGCTGGGCAGACGGCCACAATCTCTCTCTTATCAGCGAAGTTGGGGTGGCAACCCAGGATTGCGGACATGTCCTGGACCTGGCTTTCTCTAATATCCCTTTTGCGCACGCGCAGGTCAGCCCACAGCTACACCCGGGAGCTGACCACGAGGCCATCGTGGCCGTCATACCACTACTCAAACGCCCAGTGTCACAGGGAGAGGGCCACCCGCAGCCACGGCCACTGTCAGTGCCCGACTCGGCGCTGCCTCGGCTGAGAGACCTGATCGAAGGGGGGCTAGCTGCGATGCCCAATCTGGGGGATCAACCTACTCCGGAAGACCTGGACGGGCAGGCAAGTCACATCGTCGAGCTCTTCTCCCGAGCCATTGAGGCGGTCGGCAAGAAGAGAGGAAAACATGGTAAAGGCGCGGCTTGGTGGACGGAGGAATGCGCAGAGGCCCACAGAGCATACCGTGCTGCCCGCAACCAACAAGCCTGGGAGACGGAGCAAGATGCGCACCTTTATCTAATGGAGAAACGAAAGGCGTTCCTGAGCACGGTGAGGAAGGCTAAGCGAGCATACTGGGCCGGAAAGATCGATGGAGTCGCTTCAGACCGGGACCTGTACCAGATCATGGGTTGGCGGAAGGCGAGCCTACTGACCAGAGCACCCCCATTGGTTGTGGACAACCAGACGATCGAGGATACTAACGAAAAGGCTCAAGCGCTTCGGGGAGCCCTTCTCGACAGGTTTAGTGCGGAAGATGACGCACCGGGTGACCCGTTTGACGTACCCGTCGTCCCGA